CTTTGGCGGATGGATATCAATGGGGCAAACAAGGAGTTGGTCCTTGAATTGCCCGTTCCGATGTCGAGCCCTAGACTCTCTCCAAATGGAAAACAAATTCTGTTCACACTGCCACCCTTTCGTCATGCTGAACTGATGGTGATAAATTTGGACGGCAGTGGTTTGCGGAAATTGCTTGCTGACCCGCCGCGTCCGGTCAATATGGATGGGGAATGGTCGCCAGATGGGAAATGGATTGTTTATGAAGCCTTTGATCCGGATTTGCGTCCCTCCAGTAAAGTGTATGTGACGGATGCTCAAGGATTTAACTCCTTTCAAATTGCTCCAGATATAGAAGCAAACATGTACAGGCCCTTTTGGTTTCCGGACAGCAAGCGCATCGGCTTTACCGTCGGCAAACGCGGTGCAAAAGTGCATTGGGTTAACGCGGATCCCAACGCGAAGGCAAAAGAGATGAATCACCGATTCTTCGCACATTCGATTCGTTGGTCTCCAAACGGGAAACGGACAATTGTCTACGGGTCAATAGAGGAATGGGGACAATGGGACCTGTTTCTCGGTGATGCGCCGGCCAGAAATCTGGTTCCTCTTAACGAGGAGGCGAACCTAGGTGGAAGGGCGCAATGGCTACTGGACAACAAGCATATTGTCGGTACGAGCGGTTTGGGTGATCACAATGGTGTGGCAGAAGTGGATGTGGTGGTGGTGAATGTTGACACCCAAGAAGTTCAGCGTTTGACCGACGATGGTCAAAGCATATTTGTCTTCTGGCATGACGCTGCGCTTGCGGTGGAACCTGTGGGGAAGCTATCGACATCTTGGGGTGCAATCAAAAGGCAGGTCACAGATGCTGAAAAGTGAGAGCAAAGGAGGAACAGCAGATGCACCGGAAATATAATCTCACATATCTCGTTTTCGCTTTAGGTGTGACGATGCTGATGGTAAGCGTTGACGCACAAGCAAAGATTGCCTTTGTATCTGATAGGGATGGACACAGCAAGGAAATCTACGTGATGGACGACGATGGTGGGAATCCGCAAAGACTCACAAATAGTCCGGAGGATGAATGGGGTCCCTCATGGTCGCCTGACGGCAAACGCATTGTCTATTCTTCCGGTGATGCTGACTGGTTCAAAGTGGATATCTACGTGATGGACGTAGATGGGGGGGACCCTCGAAAACTGACCAAAAATCCCGGAGTTGACGATTATCCCGAATGGTCTCCTGATGGGGAACGTATTGTCTTCTCGTCCGAAAGGGATAGAAGCTCTGATATTTACGTGATGGATACCAATGGTAGGAATCTTCAGAAGCTCACTGACGCAGGAAGTGACTATTTTCCCTCATGGTCTCCTGATGGGGAGCGCATCACTTTCATGTCTTATAGAGACGGGAACAGTGAAATTTATGTGATGGATGCCGATGGGGGGAACCCTCAAAATCTCACTAACCATCCGGCAGAGGACTGGAGTCCCTCATGGTCTCCTGACGGTGAACGGATTGCTTTCTCGTCTGATAGGGATGGACCTAGGGATGGCCCCCATGAACTTTACGTGATAGATACTGATGGGCAAAATTCACGAAGACTAACAAACCATCCGGAGGATGATTGGTTGCCCTCCTGGTCCCCTGATGGGGAACGTATCGCATTTGTATCTGATAGGGGTAGGAGTTTTGATATCTACGTGATAGACGCTGATGGCGGGAATCTTCAAAACCTCACTAACGTGCGTTTTGGGGAGGATATCGCTCCTGCGTGGTTTCACCCTAATCTTGCGATTGCTCCCGCTGCGGTTGCTCCCACAGGCAAGAAACTCTCAATGTGGGGTTGGTTCAAACGGGTTAACCAGTGAGATTTCGGGATTCGGAGATCCCTCCTACAGAGAACTAAATGCCTTTAACAAGGAGGATAGGTATGAAATGCAAAATCACGTCATATCGCAAAACCCTCTTCATCGGTTGGTTTTGTCTATTGATTTTTGCCGTGAGCCACATGGCGCATGCAAAATTGAAGATTTACTATATGCCGACCGGAAAGTGGGAGCGAAATCTTTGGCGGATGGATATCAATGGGGCAAACAAGGAGTTGGTCCTTGAATCGCCCGTTCCGATGGACAATCCTAGACTCTCCCCAGATGGGCAGCAAATTCTGTTTATGCTACCACCTTGGCGTAAAGGTGAACTAATGGTGATAAATTTGGACGGCACCGGCTTGCGGAAACTGCTTGCAGATCCACCGCGTCCGGTCAATACGGATGCGGAATGGTCGCCAGATGGGAAATGGATTGTTTATCAAGCCTATCATCCGGATTTGCGTCCCACCACTCAATTGTATGTGACGGATGCCCAGGGACTCAACTCCTTTCAAATTGCCGCAGATCTAGAAGCAAACATGTACTTTCCCTTTTGGTTTCCGGACAGCAAGCGCATCGGCTTTACGGTCGGCAAATGGGGTGCAAAACTGCATTGGGTTGACGCGGATCCCAACGCGAAGGCAAGAGAGATGAATCACCGTTTCTTTGCCTACTTAATTCGTTGGTCTCCAAATGGGAAACGAACAATTGTCCGCGGGGCGGTGGAAGAAAACGGAATAGAGGGATTGTTTCTCGGTGATGCGCCGGCCAGAAATCTGGTTCGTCTTAATGATGAGGCGAGTCTAGGCGGGGCGCAGTGGTTACCGGACAACGAGCATATTGTCGGCACGAGCGGCCGCAATGTTGTCGTGGCAAATGTTGACACCCAAGCAGTTCGGCATCTGACCGACGATGGTCAAAGCATATTTGGTTTCTGGCACGATACTCCGCTCGCGGTGGAGTTTGTGGGGAAGCTATCGACATCTTGGGGAGCAATCAAAAGGGAGGTTATAAATGCTGAAAAGTGAGGGTAAAAGGCGTATATCTCAGGCGACCAATTGCACTATCAGTGAGACTATGATGACTTTCTTTCCGGTACATCTACTCCCGATCTCTGCATGAAATCTCGCATGATTTCCAACTGGTCCTCCTGCCCCCGTCCTTGATCGCAGAATCGCCTGAAAATATCTTCGACCAGCGGACCGAGTTCGATTGGTATATCGAGTTCTTTGCCAAGTTCAACTGCCAAGTGCACGTCTTTAACAGCCAGATCTGCAGCAGAGTCACATCCTCGCCATCCATGAGCAGCCCAATTGTTCGGCGCAGGTACATGCTATCACCTGTGCTGGTTTTAATCACATCGAGCAGTGCTTGTGGGTGGATGCCCGCCTTGGCACCCATCGCCATCCCTCGCAGACGCCAGCAAAATTGATGAACATTATGAAGTTGTTTACCACTTGGTTACGTGTCCACTGCCTACCGGTCCCATGTAGCGATATGGTCACCGATGCTCCGAAACAGGGGTTGAAACCGCTCAAAATCTGCCTGCTCACCGCCCACAAATATAGTGAGCGTTCCCGTCCCTCGCGCCAAATACACCGCCGCTAATCGGCGCGTCGAGGACGTGGAATCCTCTTGACGCTCCAATTTCGGCGATTTTGTGCATGGTTGTGGGTGAATTGGTGCTCAGATCGATATAAGCGCTCCGCTGTTCAACCCCGCGAAAACACCGTTTTCGCCCAAAACAACGGCTTCGACCTCTTTGGGACCCGGCAGGGATGTAAGCACCACGTCCGATTGGGCTGCTACGTTTTTCGGGCTTGACCCCCACCTTGCACCGGCAGCTTCGAGGGTCTGCCCATCTCACGACGGATGTCGTAGACTGTTAGGTTGTATTGGGCTTTGAGGAGATTTGCTGCCATCGGATTGCCCATATTGCCCAAGCCAATGAAACCAACTTTCATATCAATCCTTCCAAGGTATTTGGTTCACTAGTTCATTGAACTGGTGCACTTTAATACATTGCGTTCCGTCCCGATAAGATCGGGATTCAGAGCAACTGGAGCGAGAGAGAGTAATTGACGGGCGGGGGAACCCCGCCCCTACAAGAAAGCCGATGGATTTTTAGGCGTGTTGGCATTTTGCTGTCGCCAATTCAGCAAGCACTGTAATCATCGGGCAATCCGTCAAAAGCTGAATTTATATACATGTCGCCCCGCTGGGGCTTGAAGGTGTAGGGATTTGGTATTGCTATATACATTCCGCCCCGCTGGGGCTATGGGTCGGGCAAGATGCTCTACCTACGATTATTGATTTCAGTAGGGGCAACCCTTGTACCTGCCCAAAACCTGAAGTGTTCGGGCGGGGAGACCCCGCTCCTACGCTGTTGCGCGATTTCTTTATGTGAGCGTATCTTGAATGCGTTAGTGGTGCCTAACGTGATTCGTCCTGTGTGGGAAACTCGGCGGGCATGGTGATTTCAATGACCTCAAAGTCATCGGAATACTCCAACACCTCATGCTTGATTCCGGGACGGTTGATACCAAGCATCGCCAGCCTCGACGCGGATTTCGCCGATGTCTTCAAAGTCAAGTAGCGCCCAACCCTTGAGCAGGTAGTTCATCTGAAAGTCGAGGGCGTGGGAGTGGTAGCCCATGGGACCTTCACAAGATTGATCCGCACGGATGACGTGCGCCAGTACCTTGCCGTCGGTGGCGGTGTTGATCCCCAGATCTCGGTAAACGAAGTAGGGGCGTAACCCCTTAGCCCAATTGGCATCCTTTATGTGCGAAGCAAACGCTTTGGCTGTTTTTTCACTCATGTTGTAACTCCTTTTCGTGTGAGATGGTAATCCAATGCCTTTCATAAAATGGTGCTAGTCTGCAACTGTTGATAACGTGAAGCGTGATGTCCCGTTCCGAGGATCCCGACAAGTCGGGACGTGAAACGTGAAAACAGTTCTGATAAACGCTTGAAGCTTTTAGACGTTAAGATTTTAGTTCCGATGCGATTTTATGGGAGTATACCCTCCTTGAATCAACGCGGGTTAGGCATTGAGAAACGTCTCAATTTCCGATGCTGTTGGTAAAGCAGGGATGACACCGATTTTCTGTGTTGTCAATGCTCCAGCTGCGTTGGCGTATCTCATCATTTTTGGAGTTGATTATCATCGAGCTCAGGCAGTTTCCGCACACCTCCGGAGGAACGCATTATTTGTGTCAACATTGCTGCGACGAATCCGTCGCCCGCACCAAGTGGATCAATCACTTCGACTTTGAATCCGTCCACATAGCCTTGATGCGAGCCGTTATTGTAATAACAACCGTGCTCGCCTAGCGTCACGATGACTAACTCTACGCCAGTCTCCAAGATACGCTCACTTCCCCCCTCCAGTTCAGGAGTGTCTGTGATAAACTCCCACTCCTCATCTGCCGCTTTGACGACATTTGCATACGGCATGACCTCCCAGATCCAGTGTTTAGCCTCCTCTGGCGCATCCCACATCATCAGACGCAGATTTGGATCGTAGGAGATGAATGTGCCGGCCTCCTTCGCATACTGGATCGCCCTCAACGTGGCATCGCGGACGGGTTGGTGGCTTAAACTGCACGAACCGTAGTGAAACACATCCGCAGATTGAATATACGCTGCATCAATTTCGTCAGGTCTGAGCAGTATATCCGCCCCCGGATTGCGATAGAAAAGGATGTCCTTCGCACCATCTGATCGGGTGGCAACAAATGCTAATGTTGTCCGACGATCCGCCTCTGAGATGAGATGAGCGGTATCAACGCGGTTCTGTTCAAGCGTCTGTCGCAGAAAATTGCCGAACGGTTCGTCACCGATTTTGCCGATAAACCCTGAATCAACACCAAGTTTCGCCAAACCAACGGCGACGTTCGCTGTTGCACCGCCCGCTGCTTTGGCGAATCCCGGAGCCTCTGCAAGCGTGACATCAATTGTGGTGGAAACAAAATCGATGAGTAGTTCGCCGATACAAAGTGCTTGGGGCATCTTTATTCCCTTCCGCGACCTGTTCCTATCTTTGTATTAGGATTGACGCTTGTGTTATCTTTCCTGACGTTGATCAACCGGTGTGAAAGGCGACGTTCGCCGCTTAGAAGATAGGTGTGGTTTAGGGAATTGATTGATCGGCACAATCTCAAATTCTACGAGCAGAGTTTGTTTATCCGTTGGTGCCTGAGCCAGTGTCAGCGTATCGTTCGATAGAAGTGGGAGCCGTGGTTGGTACAGTGTGATACTCACAACTGTTGCGACCACCGCCAATGAAGCTACAACAGCATAGGGGCGAACCCGCGTCCGAAAACTGTAAAGCATCCATGCAAACGACGATTCCAATCGCCGTAAGACACGACGAACGGCAGAGATTCGCTCCTTTTCAATTACGGCGATCGATGCAGCTTGACGCATCAGGTCCGGCAGGAAATTGTCAGAGGTTTTTACTGGCTCAAGCTGGTGAAGAACCTTGTTTGTTTGCTGAAGACGCATCGCTTCATGTGCACAATTTGGGCACCGCTTGAGGTGCCACTGGATCAGTTGGATTGTCCACAAGGGCATCTCACGGTCTACATAAGCAGATAACTGTGGTTGAACATTTTCACACTTTAGCATGGGAACTCTCTCCAATCCCGACTTCTATTAGGAGTGTTTTCATATTCTGGCGGGCGCGATGGATAAGTGATTTCACGGCACTAACGGAGCACTCAAGGACTTCTGCAATTTCATCGTACCTTAGATTTTGATAGCTCACTAGAAGCAATGCCAACCGCTGGTTTTCAGGTAAGCGGTTAATTGTTTGCTGAATGATGATTTGTTGTTCCTTTTTTTCGTAGACTTCGTCGGGAAGCTGACTGACATCCTGCATCAGCTCAAAATAGCTGACGTCTTCATTGTCAGGGATAAGATCGTCGAGATAAGCGGTATTCCGCCGCTTCCGATCCCGAATTTCGTTACGGCATAAATTCGTTGCGATAAGATACAGCCAGTTTTTGAATCGACACTTCGGCTCATAACGGTTCGCACTCCTGAAAACGCGCAGAAATGTCTCCTGTGCCAAGTCTTCAGCCCGGTGGTAGTCGCCTATAGATCGATAGATGAAATTCGTGATGAGGTCTTTATAGCGCATCACAATTAGCTCGAAAGCACTCATGTCGCCGTTTCGACACTTCATCATCAATTCTTCGTCGGAGGTACGCAAAACGCATTCTCCTTCTTTTCAGGAGTATAAATCTTGAAACGTTGATGCAAGATTATAACATCAGAATTGTAGCGTATCAACATTTATTATAAACACCGTTGTCTCGCTAGAAGTTTCGCTCGGTAATTTTTGTTGACCAGCAGTTGATAAATTGGTAAGATAGCTGTGTGTTCGTTTCCAACCACGAAATCCAGCGTTGTCCTGTGCTACGCCGAATTATAAAATGTGAGAATTAAAGGAGAGACAGCCATGAGAGTTGTTACCGGCGGAATCAGCCATGAGACTAGTACCTTCACTACAGTCGAAACGAATTGGCAAAGTTATAAGGAACGATTCTACCTGCGGGGCGAAGAGATGTTAAACACATTCCGCGGCACCAATACCCCGATTGGTGGATTTATTGATGGTGCAGACACTCATGGCTTTGAACTGATTCCGACTGTTCTTGCCACGGCACACCCCAGCGGACCAACCCCTCGGAATATCTTTGATGCCATTCTGGGAGAGATATTAGACGGAATCGCTGAAGCCGGTTCAATAGACGGGGTGCTGCTTGAGCTGCACGGCTCGATGGTGGTTGGAGACCTTGAGGCGCCGGATGGCATTGATGATCCTGAAGGGCATATACTGGCAGCGATTCGTAAGGTGGTCGGCCCAGCGGTTCCTATCCTTGCGCAATTGGATATTCATTCCAACGTCTCTCCACAGATGGTTGACGCTGCAGATGTGTTGATTGGGCGGGAGACCTATCCAGAGATTGATATGGCGAAGCGTAGCCGTGAATGTGCCGATGTGCTGATGTCCATCGTGAATGATGGCAGACGCCCGACGATGGCACTGCATCAAATTCCGATGATCTGGGGGATACACCAAGTTACGGCGCACCCGCCGATGCGGGAGGCGATTGAGGAACTGCATCGTATCGAAGCACAACCTGATGTCATTTGTGGTTCAATTGCAACCTGCTACTATTTGGCTGATGTGCCAAATATGGGGGCATCGGTTTACATTGTGACCGATAACGACCAAGCTTTAGCTCAAACCTACGCTGACCAGTTGGGGGAGTGGATCTTTGAACGACGCGAAACGTGGCATGGTCCCGCACCGACAACCCGTGAAGCCCTGAAAATCGCCGAGGCGGAGGGGAAATTCCCGGTGATTTTTGCGGATCGAAACGATAACACCGGCGGCGGTTCTCCGGGGTGATAGCATCGGCATGTTACAGTGCTTCATAGAAGCGGGGCTTCAGGACGCCTGCATACTTTACATCGTCGATCCGGAGGCAATCGCAGAGTGTCATCGTGCAGGCGTGTGGAGCGACGCTCACCTCGATGTCGGTGCCAAATCAACTTCCGCCCAAGGGGCAACCTATCCGCATGACAGCAGAGGTAATTGCGCTATCGGATGGCGATTTCCGTTACGATGGACCAATGCTTGCCGGTTTAAGCAGTACCATGGGGCCATCAGCATATATCAAGCAGGACGGTGTTCACGTGCTGTTAGTCACGCAACGGGAGCAACCCTTTGACACCGCTTTTTCGCGAACACTTGGACTAGAGCCGCGTCAGATGCGCTATATCGGCGTCAAATCTTCTGCCCACTTTCGCGCAGGCTTCGAGTCGTGGTCGGGGGCGATCCATGTTGTGTCTGAGCCTAGCGTCCATACACTGAGTGATCTGACCTATAAACGACTCGGACGCAAGCTATATCCCTTTGATGAATATCAACACCCGACTCTTAAGGAGAGCCTATGAAAATTCCAATTCTATACGGTCCGCGAGATCTTCGCATGGAGGAACACCCCCTTGATACAGACAATTTGAAACCGAAAGACATTTGGATCGAGACCGAGATCTCCGCCCTAAAAATCGGAACAGATCGCGGCAACTATGAAGGTGCGGACCAGGTCCCGGGCGCACCCGGCTACCCCCGATGGGTCGGGGACAGCAACTTGGGGATTGTTCGTGGCGTGGGCAGCGAAGTGACCCGCGTGCAGATCGGCGACAGGGTCGTGACCCGTCAACCGCACCAATCCGAGTACATCACAGATGAATCAGAAAGCATTGTCAAAGTTCCCGATGGTGTTCATCCAGAGGATGCCGTCTACACCCATCTCTATGCCCTCAGTGGTCACTGTTATCGCAAAGCGCATTTTCAGCCCGGTGAAAATGTGGCGGTTGTTGGACTCGGAGTGCTCGGACTGGGTGCAGTTGGGTTGGGACAACCCTTTGGGGCACGGATCGTTGGAATCGGCAATAGCCCCATCCGTTTGGAGATGGCAGAGCGAATGGGCGCACACGCTGCGTTCCTGTATGATGACCCTGACCTCGACGCAAAGTTAGACGAATTTACCAACGGCATCGGTATTGATTTGGTTATCCTCACAGCAAACCCATGGCCCGCCTTCCGCACGTCTTTAGAGATTGTTCGGGATAACGGTCGTGTATCTGTCGTCAGTCTGCTTGGTCGTGGGGAACCCGCTCCTCGATTTTAATCCGTTGCCGATGGAATTGTTCTATAACAAAGGGATTTCAATCATTGCGGTGTCAGGACCTCCAGGCTATCTGTATCCTACACCTGAAACCCGATTCAACAATGACCGGCAAGGGGATTATATCGTTTCCTTAATGGCGGACGGGCTCGTTGAGCCGAAGCGGTTAATCACCCATCGCTTCCATTATACAGAGATGGTCGAGGCTTATGAAATGGCGTACCATCGAGAAAAATCAATGTTAGGCGTCATTTTTGATTGGAAGGATTAGAAGAATTTATGTCCAACACAGAGATATGTTTCCTAACCGCCATAGAGTTGGTGCGTCGCATCCGTGCGAAGGACCTCTCCGTCAGAGAGGTCATGGAAGCACATTTGACTCAAATCGAGCGCGTCAATCCGAAGGTAAATGCCATCGTCACACACTCGGATCCCACCGAAGTGATGGATCAGGCAGATGCCGCCGATGCAGCGTTGGAGCGCGTGCGAGGATGTGGGTCCGCTGCACGGGCTGCCTGTAGCGCATAAAGATCTCGTTGAAACCAAAGGCATGCGTACCACCTACGGCTCTCCAATTTTCAAGGACTTTGTGCCTGAACACGACGCTCTGATTGTGGAACGCTTGAAGAAAGCAGGGGCTATCACGATTGGCAAAACCAATACGCCGGAGTTTGGTGCAGGGATCGCAAACATACAACGAGGTGTTCGGAGAAACGCTCAATCCGTATGATACGACGAAGACCTGCGGCTGGTAGTAGTGGCGGCGCTGCGGTTGCGCTAGCTGTGGTATGATACCAATCGCAGATGGGAGTGATATGGGCGTTCGCTGCGAAACCCCGCTAACTTCTGTAATGTCGTGGGCTTTCGTACCTCTCCCGGCAGGGTTCCTGTGTGGCCCGCCTTGTTGGGTTGGTTTCCAATATCGGTGGAGGGCTCCGATGGCACGAACGGTACAGGATGCCGCTTGATGTTGAGCGCGATTGCTGGTCCCGATCGCCGTGCTCCTATTGCAATCAGTGAGCCGGGGGAGATGTTCTCTCGACCCCTTGAGCGTGATTTCAGTGGCGTGCATATCGCTTGGGATCGGGATTTGGGGGATTACCGGTGGATCCGCAGGTGACTGCTACCATTGACGCGCAACGAGGGGTTCTTTGAATCGTTGGGCTGCGAAGTTGTGGACGCTGTTCCGGATTTTACGGACGCGGATGAAGTCTTCAAGGTATGGCGCGCCTGGCGTTTTGAACTCGCTTATGCCAAGCTGCTGGAAACCCATCCGGACCAGATAAAGGATACTGTGGTCTGGAACATCAAGGCGGGTATGAAGTTAAGTGGCCCACAGATTGGGGATGCAGAGATTAAACGGACAGCACTTTATCAGCGCGTGCGGGAGTTCATGGAGACTTACGAGTTCCTGATTCTTCCCGTGAATCAAGCACTCCCCTTTGACGTGAAGCAGCACTATATTACTGAAATTGACGGGGTGAAAATGGAGACGTATATTGATTGGATGCGGTCCTGCTATTACATCAGTGTTCTCGGTCTGCCTGCGATTTCGGTGCCCTGTGGTTTCACCCCCGACGGTTTACCGGTGGGCGTCCAAATTGTCGGGCGACACCAAGATGACTTTGGGGTACTTCAACTGGCTCACGCCTTTGAACAGGCTACAGGTTTTTGGAAACAGAAACCGACTGTGATTGAATAGTATAACTTTCAAAAAAAGGCGTTTTCCTTACGTTCACCACACAGAAAGGAGTTAAAAATGTCTCAACTTACCCATGACGTTACCCGTTCTAATGAACTCTATAAACGAGCTGGCGAAATTATCCCCGGCTGGACGCAACTGATCAGCCGACGTGCCAGCCAGTTTGCTAATGGTATCAGTCCCACTTATGCCCAACGCGCCAAAGGCTCCCGTTTCATTGATGTCGATGGGAATGAATACATCGATTGGGTCAACGCGGTCGGTGCGATTATCCTCGGTCATGCGGATCCGGTCGTGGATACGGCGGTCAAAGACCAGATCGATCGCGGCAGCCTTTACACGCTGAATGGACCGGTCGAAATCGAATTGGCGGAAGAACTGATAGAAACCATTCCGAGCGCGGAGATGGTTCGATATACCAAAGGCGGCGGCGAAGCCTGTGCCGTTGCAGCGCGTATCGCACGAGGGACAACCGGTAAAGATAAAATTGTGTTTTGCGGCTATCACGGTTGGCACGACTGGTATCAAGCGGCGAATTATGGTGTCGATCCTGAAAGTGGTGAATACCCGTTTGCAGGGATTGAACCGATTGGTGTGCCCAAGCACTCGCTGGGACCGCCCTCCCCTTTATTTATGGTGACCTTGCCATGCTAGAGGGACTGCTAGAGGAAAATCAAGGTGAGGTAGCGGCGGTTATGATGGAGCCCGCCCGCTCTGAACTTCCCGAACCGGGATACCTAGAAGGGGTCAAAGCCCTTGCCCATAAGCACGATGCTATTTTTATTTTTGACGAAGTGTCTTGCGGTTGGCGATATTCGGTTGGGGGTATGCAAAAACCTCTAGGGGTTATTCCAGACATGACTGTCGTCGCAAAGGCAATGTCAAACGGCTATCCGATGGGCGCTGTTGTTGGTTCACGAGAGGTGATGGAACCAGCCGGTCGCATGTTCATCTCTAGTTCCTACTGGAGTGATAATATTGGGACAGTTGCTGCACTGACGACTATTCGTGAACTGAGACGTCGGAACTCTGAGGTTCGCTTTAAGGAGCTTGGTGAGAATTTGCGTTCTGTCCTCAACGAAGTTATTGCCGCTAGTGGGCTATCGGGTGCTTGTACCGGTCTTCACACAGCCCTTGGTGTTTCCCTTGACTTGCCAGACGAAACGTTGGCTCCCGCAGTCAAAACGCTATTCGTCCAAGAAATGGCAAAGCGTGGTATTCATTGTTATATGGGATTTAAGGGAACCCTTGCCCACACCGAAGAAGATATCCGTTTGACTGCTGATGCGGTGGCGGGGGCATTGGGCGTGATTAAATCCGGTATAGACGCAGGAGATGTGGATAGTTTGCTGGAATCTGATTTGAAGAAGGATCCGTTCCGCCGCTTGGTCCGGTAGTCATCCTTAAATCCTATTCGTTTTTGATGCACTGTTATCGGGAGATTTTTGCTTATGCTAATTATTGATGCCCACCTTGATCTTTCTTGGAACGCACTTCAAGGGAATCGGGACTTGCTGCGTTCCGCTTATACCATCCGTACACAAGAAGTCGGCACCCCGGGCAAGGGACGCGCCCAAGGCACCGTTGCATTTCCGGACATGCGTCAGGGGCGACTCGCGGTATCCGTCGTCACCCTGTTCGCCCGTTGCACCGGGCGACCCGCTCCCCACTCGGATTATGCCTCACCAATCCAGTCCTATGGCGTTGCTCAAGGGCAGTTGGCTTACTATCGCGCTTTAGAACATGAGGGTCACATTCGCATTATTGCAGATCGCGCGACTTTGGACAGCCATATCGCCGATTGGGAGGCGTGGGAAGAGACGGAATCAGATGATACCCCGCCTCTTGGATTTGTAATCAGTATGGAGGGGGCAGATTCGATTCTAAAGCCGGATCAGCTAGAGGAATGGGTCGGAGGCGGTCTGCGTCTGCTTGGGCTTACGCATTACGGGCCAGGACGCTACGCCGGCGGGACAGGCACCGAACTGGGCTTAACTGAACTGGGACCGCCGCTGCTCGCTGAAATGGAGCGGTTAGGTGTTACCCTCGATCTCACCCACTGCTCAGATCAGGCGTTCTGGGAGGCGTTGGAGCACTACGAGGGATTGGTGTTAGCAAGCCATAACAACTGCCGGGCACTGGTTCCCCATCAACGTCAGTTCAGCGATGCACAACTGCGAGCGATTTTTGAACGAGATGGTGTGATCGGTGCAGCTTTTGACGCGTGGATGATGCAACTGGGCTGGGTTTCTGGACAAAGTACAAATGAAGGGGTCACATTGAACACAGTCGTTGACCACATGGACCATGTGTGCCAATTGGCGGGCAACAGCCGTCACGCTGGCATCGGCACAGACCTTGATGGCGGTTATGGTCGAGAGCAATCCCCTTGTGATTTAGATACCATCGCTGATCTCCAAAAACTTGCGGGTTTGTTGGCAGACCGCGGCTACAACGATGAAGATATTGGCGCCATCATGCACGGAAACTGGCTGCGCCTACTACGCCAAGCATGGACCGATTAACACAGATTGCAATGAACGGAGAGAAATTATGAGCACCGATGAGCGCAGTGTTATAGATCTATTCAGCTTGCAGGGCAAAGTTGCGGTGGTGACTGGGGCATGTGGATGGTTAGGGTCAGCGATGAGCCGAGCCCTGGCTGAGGCAGGCGCGCAGGTTGTAGTTACCAGCCGTGATGGGGGACAGGCTGCCGAATTTGCTGCTACGCTGCCCGGCGATGGACATCTGGGTTTGGGGTTCAGTCAGGGTGATACCGATACGATTCCCGGCTTCGTCTCAGAGGTAGTGGAACGGATGGGCAAAATCGATGTGCTGGTCAATAACGCTTACGGTGGCACAGCACCGGATATCGACAACGCTACAGCGGAAGACTTTAATCAGGCGTATCATGTCGGTGTAACAGCTTACTTCCTGCTGGCGCGAGATGTGATGCTTCATCTACGCGAGCAACAGCGTCCCGGATCGATTATCAACATCGCTAGCATGTACGGCGTCGTGGCGAGTTATCCGAGCGCGTACGAAGGGTTGTCGGCCGGCAGTCCCCCGAATTATCACGCGCTCAAGGGTGGTGTGGTGCACCTGACCCGTCATCTCGCAGCGTACTGGGCAAAATATAATATACGGGTTAATGCCATCGCTCCCGGACCGTTCCCTAAGCCAGAGGTACGTGACAGCGTTGAAGGCTTCATCCCTCGTCTGGAGGAGAAGGTGCCGTTGGGACGTATGGGAAGACCAGAGGAGTTAAAAGGAGCAGTTGTGCTGTTAGCGAGTGACGCCGGTAGCTATATTACCGGACAGAACCTGCTGGTTGATGGTGGGTGGACTGCTTGGTAGGAAACTGAGATTGGTGGCGGCTGGAAAGACAGATCCACGATCATATAAATCCTATGTCAATTCAACCTTCTGCAATGCCGCTACCTTCTCCTTCAAAGGACGATAGACATACTCATTCATCACCGCAATTGCCCCGTGATCGGATTGATCGCGGACGACATCTGCATAAGCCTCTAATGCTTTACGGGCAGTAATTAATGCCGTTTCCGCATTCTGCATAGCGTCGACAGGCTTCCCGTCAGCCTCCGCAATCGCAGCACGACGGACCGCAGCGATCATATCCAGATAACCGATACCGAACCTGAGACGCCCAATCCAATAATCCACGTAACTTTGTCCCGACGATTGCGTTTTTTCCCGCGCCCGGTATGCGGCATCTAACGCCCGTTGATACCCCTGCCGGTCCGCAACCAGTTCATCGGACATCGGTTGAGGCGTCCAATGCTTGGTCAGCATACCGGGGACAGGAAAGGTCAATCCCAGTCCATGTTCCTCCAGCGCAACCGTCGTCGCCTCCACCTCACGAAATGTCGTCAACATATCCTCAATGCACCCCGCTCCACAGACAGCGCGGATTTGATCTCGATAAACGTCCTCGTGCCTTATTCCTTCTTCCCACGCTGCTTTCGCCAGATAGGTAACGCATGGATCGTGATCGGCGATAAGCCAATAGCGGGTGGAGAACCCTGCCCAACCGTACCGGCACAGGTCCTGCGTCAACTCATAGAGGGAGCCTGTCGCCAATTGTGGTAACAGTCCCACGTTGTCATCGTGGAGTGTGTAAATCAGGCTGCAGGCGTGTTCTCGACTCGGAACGCTTTCGAGGACTTCCCGCCGTTTGACAATGCGCGATGCGGTGTAGTCCACGAAGTTCAGCGTTTCCCAACCACGAGGCACAAGGCTCTCAAGTACCGGAAAGAGTTCTTCCGCTACGCTGTTGTAGATAAATTTCATGTCGGGACGGCGGGACTCCTTGAGAGCATAGATCTCATTGAGAAGTCGGTCGTAGAAGTAGAGAGCAACAATGTCGCCTTTGACTTCCTGTAAGGCACGCTCTTCTCCGCCGGGATATGCGGCGCGTTGCGTCGCAGCAGTTAATACATCATCGAGCGGGCGTTGCGATGAAATGCAATACTTGCATCAAGCGCCTGCCATGCCCGTTCATACAACCCCGACCACTGCCGAAACTCTGGCATCCCTAACGCCACATAATCTACTTCAGGATAAGTATCCACTGTCGCTCGTAGCACCGCCGTTGCGAGTTCGGTGAGTGCGGGGTCATCGATATCGGTCTCTGCACTTGGCACAACCGTCAATTCCGCTAACTGATGGACTTCTTGGACATCTTTGAGTAGCGGCGCAAACTCAGGTGGAAATTCTGTCAGTGTAGCGACGATGACACATTCCATCCCGCGCCGGTGCGCGTAGTCTATCAGGTTATGTATCAATTGCTCACCCGCCGCCGTAAATGCCTCATAACTCGCACCGCGTGGCAGGTCGGGGTTCCAAAATTCGTCCGCGTCGCCAAATAGGTGACGTCCCACCATATCATCGGTGATGGGATAGTGGAAATCGAACCAGAGCGTCGCCGATTCTCGCTTGACTCCTTTGACCTCGTAGTGGAGAAAGGGTTGCCAGGGCCAAACGGACAACAGAATGCGGTTAAACTTGAGTTTAGCCAGTTGGTCGAGTACAGGACGATAATCCGCCATGCCCCACGATTCGGGACCGCACGCAAAATCGTTGATAACGCGCCACTGACGGACCGACAACGTTGGCTCCATTACGATATTTAGATCAGGAAGGTGGAAAGTGCATGGTGCCGGTAACACGTCGCGGTGCAAAAGATAGTGCACGCCCCAGCGTTCTACCAACTCATACACCGCCCACAACGTCGCACGCGGACTACCACCCCGAACCACTAGCGATGGGCGTCCTTGAAACTGCACACGGCGTAAGATGAACCCCTGTTCGCCGACCAGTGGGAAAGCGTTTTCTTCCATCTTACCCTGAACAGCCAGATCGGTGTCAAGACTGCCGATGAGGGAAAAGTGCTTCTGCTTTCGCTGATACATTTGACATTGGACGGGTTTGGAGGCCAAACAGTTTCTCAAGGTAGTCGCAAAGTTGTTCGGCAGCGAAGCGTTCCAACTCAGGGGCATTTTCACTGACGATCACAGCAATTCGTGTATCATCGCTCGTGTCCGTATGATCTGTTTGCATCTGGTTTTTCCCTTCCATTTCGTCGTGAGAAAAAACGGGAATTTGTGTGAATTGAGCCTATTGCCAATTAATCAGAGGATAGCTTTTTAATTTTACCATCTTTAGAAAATTCGAGCACCGTTCCCCGCCATGATTAGCTTGCCTTTAGGAGATTCCCAATCCTTTGCTAAATTGCGTGACTGAGATGACCATTTTCAAAGTATACCACCCAAGTACCAGCCTTCAGCCAAAGACCAGCAGGTGATTGCCAGTCTCGATTGAGCGTAAGACCGACGACTTGTCCATTCTCAGTGTACTGAATCGGCGTATTTGCTCTCGCTTGGGTCCCATCAGAAAACTCTCGGTCTTCAGGAAACACGGCTGTCTGTGGATTGCCGTTTTCATAAGATTGCAGGACGTGGGGTTTCCCATACTTTTTTAATAAGACCCTAGAAAACATTTGGTCGGAGGGGAAAGCCTTTTCCTCGTGTCGATACTTTTCCAAGAAGGACATCCATGTTTCTGAAGTCGCATTTGGCTAATGATGAATCAGCAAAAGGTGAATCGTATCAGATCGTTCAATTAAAGGAATTAAATCAGGATTTTCTTCTACAATCTTTTCCAGCCAATCGAAACTTAATGGGGTTAAAAGCAACGAGGTATTGTCCTGATCGATTTGGACTTTATACACAACGTGAACCGGTCTCCAATGCGACATTGACCAGAGCGTGAACATGGTATTTGCGAGAACATTCGGATCGCTAGATAGGAGGTCTTCATTTTCAAAATATCATCAAGATCCAAATTAAAATTTGCCATGACGATGTCAGCGAAGTATGAATCTTCTATCTGAAAAAACTTGGTCCGAGCAACAGAGACTTTTCCTATTTTCATCGAAGATTTTTATTTTGCTGTCCTCAAAAACCCACGGCTTTATATTCATTTGTGAGATGTCATCGTCAAGAACGAAAAAGAGAGCCATTCTCCTTCGAGTTGCGGAAACTCAACAACAGCATCTTCTGTGTAGAAGGGGTTTAACGACTGCACAGGATTATCAATGTCAATGCAGCCGGCAAACAGACTGGATAAGAAAATGAATAGAAAAAGATATAGCTTCGCAGTAGCGGTTACCCGAATTGACCGTAAAAACGTGAAGCGAATCTTCCACACTGCCGAAGTAATTGAGATATTCGCCAACTTATGCTGTTTTCTCTGCTCATAATCGATATTCCTCCTCACTATCTCAAGGATCGCATTTATAATGCTAGGCGGGCTCAAACTGTTGGAATAGCAGGCGTTAAGAACATGTTAGGGTGACTGTTTCTTGTTTGACAATCTCTTTGACGTGTTTATAGGGTGCGACCTCGATTAATTCCAGTGTCTCCGGCGACAATTTTGTCTGAATTTCGTCTGGGAACGGATCAAAGGTCCCATAGGTGGTGTACTGCGGCATGTAGCGCAGTATGAGGAAGCGGCGGTCTCGATCTTTCGGTTTCCAGACGAGGACACCGTGGGTGAGCAATTCCGAGATAATCACGACATCGCCAGCACGCGGCGTGATATTGGTTACGGCTGGATGCGGATCTGGGTCGGTCTCATCGCTGTCCGGGACAAACAGATCGGGTGGACGTAAAAACTCGCTTTTGTGGGAGCCCGGAATCACGACGAGTCCTCCATCACCGGGCATCACATCGGTCAGATAGAAGAAGACAACGAAAAAATCACAGTAAATCTGTCCATCTTGGCAGAAATAACGGGGCATTTCCGGTCCACCGCCCCCTTCTCGCGCACAGTGCAGCGGGTGAAATCGTTGCCCATGGGTATTTCGCCCCAACGAGCCGCTGGTGAACCGGGGTTTGTCGCCGGTCAACTCCTTAATGATGGGCCAGGTCACCGGATGGAAGCAGAGAGACTCCAGTGCCTTGTCGAATGCAAAACCGTGGGAATAGGGGGTAAAGTCTGGACGCTCTAGATTTGCCCCAAATCCAAGTTCCCATTTTTCGGGTGGGGTACGGATGTAGCGATCGGCTGCTTGTTGGGCTTGTTTTAATTCTTCAGGATTGAGCACATTTTCCAAGTGAAGATAGCCGGTCACATCAAGTAGGTAGCGTTGTTTGGGGGTCATTGAAATCTCCGATAGTCATCAAATAGTGCAGCATTTTGTAGTGCGGGGTTGGGGGCATCTTATGTTCGGTCCTCTATATGTCCTGTCATCACTTCCTCCTGATTTGCGGGGGAATAGAAATAAGATCCGGGTTGCCATTCCCCGATATCTCCGAGTAATCTTCGCTGCCGAGGTGTACATCGTTCCAAAAGTTCTGGCGACACATCTTTATAATCGTAAGCACGGAAGCAGTGGTGGTTGTAACAATAAATGAGTGTTTTGCGGGCATGGCTCGATCTGTTGCTCGCTGCGCCGTGCCACAACGCATGTGGGAAGACCGCTGCGTCCCCGGCTTCCACACAGAGTTGCACTGCCTCAGTATTGTGAGGACTTTCTGCGTTTCCAAGTTGCGCTGCTGGAAAGGGACGGTAATGGCTGCCGGGGACAATTGTGAAGTTCCCACGCTCAGGGGCAGTAAGCGGTGTTAGGAAATATTGAATCTTAATCTGTAGCGGAAGGCTATTTGTATCGACCCGTATGCGTTGCATCGCTTGACCACCATCCGGGTGCAGCGCGTGCGCAAGCCCTTTATCTTCGGGGTTTGGAGGCCGAATCATGGCTTGAGACATGCTTAACTGAATGAAAGGACCGAGGAGTTCAAGCACAACCGGAAATGTTGCGGGATGGTCTATTAGTTCAATGAAAATATCCCTATCCTCAATGATGTTTAGTTTATTAAGTCCAGCATACGGCTTCACGTCAGATTCATTTTGCGATCCTTCGGAGGATAGCTGCTTTCGATGTTCCTCATCCATCTGGTCAACAACGGTTGTCAGCTTTTTGATTTCTTCCGCAGAAAGCACACCTTTTAGAACAAGATAGCCATCTTCCTTCCATTGATCTTTTTGTTTTTCAGTTAAAACTCCTATTTTCACGACAGTCTCCCTAAGCACTTAACGTTTTGTATCTTTTGAACACAAACTTTGACCATTCGCCAATCCAAATGAAGCACTGTGCATCCTCTTACAACGAATTACTCTAATTCTTCTTGTGTTTTGCCTACGCTTTCGATATAATAAAAGCATAAAATCTTGGTATACTCTTTTACTATTACCATGGATTTCAGATGAGACTCAGATCCTGCGAATTTGAAACATAATAGATAGGAATCTGGGTTAGAGTCAATACCATATTCTAACGACTATCGGGAGTGAAAATTTTATGGCAAGCGAATCAATGACTGTCCGTGACAACGCGGATGCAAAAATTATTGACGTGAATGAAGACCTCGGAAGTTATGCTGCCGCCGATTTGCGAAAAACAATCGATGAGCTAATTAACGGAGCATCACAGAAAATCATCGTGAATTTAAGCGAGGTCCAACATATTAACAGTACGGCGATCGGTGCGATGGTTGGTTCTGCAAAGCGACTCCGCGCGAGTGGTGGAGACCTCAAGGTTTACGGTCTAGCGGAGAATCTTAAACGGACATTTGATCTGGTGGGAGCTTCTAGCGTTCTCGAAATCTATGATTCAGAGAGCAGTGCACTCGCTGCATTCTAGGCTGCCATTCAGATGTTGATGTAAAGAAAAGACTTCAGACGCTAGGGTTTGGTTTGTATGCATAATGTTTGCGCCAAGCCCTTGGCTTTTCGACTTGGTGTTCTGGTATGACTCAAGCACAAAAAACGGAACAGGAAATTCTCAAACTCACAGTTCCTAGCTGCCTAAAGTATATCCGTCCAATCCAGATGTTTATCGGACAATTGGCACAGCAGCTTGGGTTTTGCCGGACCCGTATCTATGATATTGAACTTATTATTGATGAAGTCTGTAGCAACGCCATCGAACACGGCTCAGAAACCCCTGATTCAGGAATTGATTTGACCCTCATGTTCGATTCAAACAAATTAGAGATTCATGTTCGAGACAAAGGCAAATCTGTACGGAAGAATTGGCTGGCAACAGGGAGGCTAGATGAAGTTTCTCAAAAGATGACCCTGACGGTGAACGTGGACACGGCATCTTTCTCGCGGAAAAGCTCTCAGACTCCCTCGAAATACTGACCAATCCTCTCGGGGGAACTGATGTTCAAGTTGTTTTCTACTTTTCCACAAGCAATGCTTCTCAACACGTGAAGGAACAGACTAATGGAATTTAACATTCGTCACAGGGCTGGGGTTATCATTTTCAGTCCAAGTGGTGAAATCATTGGAGATGCCAGCCGTGATTTTCGGGAAGTAGTTGCCGAGCAACTTGCTTCGACTTCTGAGGCACCCAAATTTTTGTTTGATTTCGCCACCACCCCAATGATGGATAGTACTGGACTGGGAGTGTTAATCGGAACGCGTTTAACTATTATGCCTAAAGGCGGGCAGGTTGCCCTCATCAATCCTAGCTCGAAAATTAAAACTCTTATCGCTGCATAGAAATTAACCACGATGTTTGAACAGTATTCAAACGAGGATGAAGCGATAGCTGCGCTGACAACCGGTTGAAATGGCATAGAGGGATTGGATGGGAGTGTCGTATGTGGTTATGGCGTGATACTTCTATGCAAGCCTTTTAACCATCTTGACGAGTGTGCCAGACTTTTCGTAAGTGACATCATCCATACATGATTCGATCAGAAACAGCCCTCTCCCACTACTTTTGAAGATATTTTCGGGCTGCATTGGATCTGGAACTTGTTCACGGTCAAAACCTGGTCCTTCGTCTTGGATGACAACTGTAAACAGATCTGGCTGAATAATGAATTCAAAATATGCGCGTTTCTCTGGATCTTCCTGATTCCCATGTTTTATCGCATTGGTGCCCGCCTCAACCACTGCCAGATTGATTTGGTCGCTTGACTCTTCATCCAACGCCATTTGGCTAAGAATTTCCGTAATGACAGCATACAAGGTGTGAACCCACCGTAGTGAACTGGGGACATCTAGGCGAATCACTTGTGCAACTGTTTGTTCCACTTGGTCTTTTCTCCCATATCATTTGGTTAGCCATTGCCGGGGCACAAAGTGGAGAGTATACGATACCGAAGACGCATGTAGGTAGGCATACCCATTGTTATTGTTATTTGACTGACTGATTTTGAAACACTTTCGCATAATCGCGGGAACATCATCCTGAAGAGGTAATAATCTTATGTCAGAAGAATCATCGCGCATCCGCCAAAGCGGAGATGTCAAAATTATTGATGTCAACGACTATTTGGGAAGCTACGCGGTTGCTGAGTTACGCGAAACACTTGCAGCCCTTGTCAACCAAGATGTTCAGAAAATTATTGTGAATTTGAGTCAGGTTGAGCATATCAACAGTGCGGCTATTGGAGCCCTTGTTGGCACCGCGAAGCAGCTTCGCCTTAAAGATGGGGATGTCAAGATTTACGGCTTGACAGAAAATATCAGGCGGACATTTGATTTAATTGGAGCCTCTGATATGGTTGAGATTCACAACTCAGAAGATAGTGCCCTTTCCACGTTCTAGGCTACGTTGACAAACTACCCATCAATTGATTGAGGATTGAATACCTTAAGTCCATTTGCGGGTTTCTACCACATCGGTCCACACCCATCAATAGCAACAATTGTAATATCGTCGTCTTTCGGTCTGCCGTCGCTAAATCGGTCCGTTGTGTTGAGGACAGTTTCAACAAGGACAGGTGCCGGTTGAGTGATTTGTTGCATGATGACCTCTTGGATACCTTGAGGGGTGAACTCCTCTCCCTGTGAATTTTGGAGTTCATAAGCACCATCGGTATAAAGAAATAGCCCATCCGAAGGGGTGAAAGGGTAGTGGTGTGTTTGATATGTCGAGTCTGGAAGTAATCCCAGTCCTTTTCCCGTTGACTGGTCTCCGATAGGTTTACAAACATTGCGCTGACGCTGAACTAGGAATGGAAAGGGGTGCCCTGCGTTCGCATAGTGTAGTGTCTCGTTGGAGCGGTCAATAACGGCGCAGAACGCTGTTGCGAACATATATTGTTGTGAACTGATCATCTTGTTGAAACGGGTGTTTAATTCTTCGAGTAAGCGTCCAGGGTCGTCTGTCTGAGTGATCATCTCCTCGACAATCGTTTTAATAAACACAGTGATAAAGGCTGCGGAAACCCCATGGCCCATCACATCGGAGATGAAAACGCCTAATCGCCCCCGTTCAACCTCCCACAAATCGAAAAAATCTCCCCCCACCACAACTGCCGGTGTATAGTGTGAAACAATGCGGAATCCCAATAAATCGGTGATTCCTTGAGGCATCAGGCTATCTTGAATTTCGCTTGCCATTTGTAATTCTTTGTCCATACGTTCATTATGAATCTTGAGTTCACGATTGGCTTGTTCAAGTGCATCATGGTATCTTTTGATACGCACCAGCGAACGTACACGAGCAAGGACCTCATAGCTATCAAATGGCTTGGATATAAAATCGTCGCCACCCGCCTCAATTGCTCTGATCCGATCTTCCTTCTCTGAAAGAGCGGTTACCATCACCACCGGAATAAATTGTGTGGCTTCCTCCGCACGAATCTGCTGACAAACCTCAAATCCATTCATCCCTGGCATCATAATATCGAGCAGAATTAGATCGGGTGCCTCAGCCTGCACCAGTTCCAATGCTTCCTGACCGCTGTTTGCTGAGAGGACCGTGTATCCATCCGCTTGGAGCCGAATTTGAAGCAATCGGATGTTTTGCGGTTCATCATCAACAACAAGGATTTTGGCGTTGGGTGGTTTATTCATTATTCTCGCGCCCTTCAAGAGGAGACATGGACAGATTACGGTTTACAGATTCAGAAAATATTTAGGAAAATTATACCATAAATCTATCCTTATCTACACTATCCAGATCTGCTAATGCTTCATCTTCAGTATCGTACAGATCAAAGACATTATTGAGCTTAGTGATAAGCAGCAACGATTTGACAGATCTGTCAACATTGGAAAGCAACAACCTCACCTCGCTTCGCATCAACGAAGTACGCAGGGCAACCAGCATCCCCAATCCGACACTGTCCATTAAGTCAACATCCTGGAAATTCAGGACGACATTTTTCCCACCGTCATCAACCAACTCCTGAATTTTGTCGCTCAGTTGGATTCGATCTTCGCCGAGGATACTGCCTGAAATACGGAGAATGACATTCTCTTTTTGATATTCGACTGAAATATCCATGATGTAATTTACTCCTACTAGAAATATGCAACCAAGAGGTGCGGATAAAGTTTATTGAGAGGTATGCATTATTCGAGAGAAAGTGACTCGTAATGCAGATTTCCGAATCGGTGACCATCAGAATCGCAAGCTAGAAATTTGCGCCACGATTTCATCCTTCCTATAATTAAGCACATTTTTCAGTCTATCATAGCCTCACGCTGATAGTCAATTTGTTTTTCTATTGGCTATCCTCTTCTTTGGTCCACTTGAATCCTTGGAAGAGCACAGCCGATTTGCATGTTTACGCATTAAGATAATGTTCCACCAGATCTACCAGTGCATGCGTATCAACTGGCTTGCTGATATAGTCATCACAACCTGCATCGCGAAACTGTTCACGCTCTCCTTTCATCGCTGCCGCGGTGAAGGCAATAATTGGCACATGACACCATTTGGAATTGGCTTTAATCTGTCGAGTCAAGGCTTCCCCACTGATACCGGGAAGCGCGATATCCATCAGAATCAGATCCGGTAGTCCAGCTTGTAATATCACTAGTGCCTCGTCCGCATCAACAGCCTCAAGTACTTCATAGCCCTTCGCCTTTAACACAATCCGTACAATCTTTCGGTTCATTTCCATGTCTTCAACCACTAGAATCCGTTTGGTACTCATGAGTGTGTCTCCGCTTCCTGAGTTGGCGTTCGCAAACGTTCGATTCGTTTGATTGTGGCTAACAGTTCTTCTTTGACGTTGCCCGTCTTTTGGATAACCGACTGGATCTGACCATTGAGTCGATCTCGATCTTCGTCAGTGAAATCCAACGCTGTGCAGATAATAATAGGAATGTCACAGGTCCGCGGATCACCGGCTAAATGTCGAATGACTTGGAATCCATCCACTTGAGGCATCATCATATCAAGAATAATTAGATCCGGCGATTGAGAAATTGCTGTTTCAATCGCCTCGCCTCCCCCATACACCTTCAGGACTTCATACCCATCGTTGGTCAGTACAGTGGACAGCAGGCGCACCGTCTGCGGATCATCGTCAACGACAAGGATACGAGGTGAGCCGCCCCAATTAGGTAGTTTCAGAGATCGGAGCGAAGCGAAAAGTGCTTCTTTATCAATAGGTTTGACTAGATGGTCTACCGCTCCCAATCCAAATGCTAGTTGACGTTCTTCCGTTACCGAAACGATGATGACCGGAATCGATTGCAAGTTTGGTTTCGTCTTCATTTCTCTCAGCACTTGCCAACCATCCTTTTTCGGCAACAGAATGTCAAGCGTGATTGCAAATGGGTGTATTTCAGCAGCTTTTGCGACGGCTTCTTCGCCATCTGTGGCATATTCTACTTGGTATCCTGCCTCTGTCAGATAAATTCCCAAAAGTTGAGCGGCTTGTTCATTGTCTTCAGCCACTAAGATGGTGCGGTTATTATCAAAAGAAGCGGTAGTTTCAGAATTGGAGGCATCTGGCGCAGTGACTTCAACCTTTTGTTCCTGTTGGTGCAGCGGGAATGTGAAGGAAAAGGTGCTCCCCTCGTTTATCTCACTGTCAACCCAGATCTTCCCTCCATGCAATTGAATCAGCCGATTGGTCAATGCTAGCCCCAATCCAGTTCCACTGTGTGCGCGGGCACTTGAAGCGTCGAGCTGTGTGAAGGGTTGAAACAGTTTAGTCCGATCCTGTGGCGAGATGCCCACACCAGTATCAGTCACACTCCCTAGCAACGCTGAATTGGAAACTTCAAACTTCGTTGTAATTTTTCCACCTTCATCGGTGAACTTGATGGCATTGGAAAGAAGATTGTAGAGGATTTGCTTGAATTTAATCTTATCTGCTTCTATTGAAACGTCCTGATCAAATTGGAGAGACAGTTGGACCTGCTTCTCATTTGCAAGGGCATTAATAATGGTATTGACCTCTGTTACCGCTTCCTTAACGGAGAAACTCTCCAGTTGCAGCTCCATTTTACCAGCCTCGATTTTTGACAAATCGAGAATATCGTTAATCATAGCGAGAAGATGATTTCCGCTGGTACGGATGTCGAGGACTAATTCTCTCTGCTCGTCGTTAATGCCTCCTAGGATTTCATCGCGCAAAATCTCAGAAAATCCGATAACTGCGTTTAACGGCGTGCGAAGTTCATGACTCATGGTGGCAAGAAATTCACTCTTGGCGCGGTTTGCGTACTCAGCGGAATCTTTGGCTTCCTGCAATGCGATCTCAGCTTGCACTCGATCGGCGATATTGGTATTAATACCGACCCAATTGATAATTTCCCCCGAATCGTCCCGAACAGGGGCACCAATAAAAATAAAAGTTTCATAGGACCCATCTTTAGCTCGAAACCGACACTCGCCGCTGTATGTCTCGCCGTGTGTATATGCGCGTTCCCATTTTGCGAGTACGTCCGGGAGATCTTCAGGGTGCAACGCTTCTGCCCACCGGGTGCCCAATGATTCCTCGTCGGTGAGTCCAGAAAACTCATGCCAAGCTTTGTTCAGAAGAGCAACCTGGCCATCAGCGTCTGCAACCCAAATTGCCTGTGGTGCTGCCTCAATGAGCGTCCGATAGAGTGCTTCTTGAGAAGCCAGTGCCCTTTCCGCTTCTTTCTGCCTAGTCACGTCTCGCCACGTTGACCGACTTGCGATAATCCTGCCGGTTGCGTCACGCATTGGTGTTGCTTGCAGCAGCACATCAATGGTGCTGCCATCTGCCCGGCGAAGGGCCCGCTCCTGTCTGATAACCTCACCTGTTTCGATGAACGCCGAGGAAGTTTGTCGCGCAGCCTCTATCGATTCAGAAGCATATAGTTCCAAGAAGGAATTGCCTATAATTTCCTCTTTGCTGCGACCGATAACATCTGCAAGGGTTTGGTTACATTCTAAAATATTTCCAGAAACCAGATCAACGACAGCCATCATATCCGGCGCGTTTTCGTACAGGTCACGATAGTGGACTTCTGCTAACTTACGTTCGGTAATGTCTCGCGCAACGGCATAATACAACTGCTCTTCCGCGGATACCGTTGAACTCCATAAGAGCCACTTATACGAACCGTCTTTGCACAAGTAGCGATTTTCAAAGGAAACGACATCTTCGCTTGTTGTCATGATCTTCTGGGCTTCAACAATTGTCGATTCTTGGTCTTCAGGGTGAATAAAATCGATGAATGGCTTGGTTTTAAGTTCCTCCACTGTAAAGCCGAGCGTTTTTTCCCACATTGGGTTCAGTTCCTTGAAGTAACCATCGAAACCGGCGATACACAGCATATCCAGCGATAGGGTAAAAAAGCGGTCGCGCTCAGTGGTATCGGCAGAAATAGTCATGGTGGTTTATCTCCTTCATTTTTCGGCCTCGAATTTTGCGAATCCGGGAAGCGAAAGTCCGAACTTTTAGAGTTTTTTGAGAGGAATAACGAGGCTCTCCAAAGATTGGTTCGGTGACATACTCCCAAACCTTAAGGATTGGGCTTCTCGCCTATTCCTTCAGGAGTCGAATTGTGCTATCAACAAGGATAGCCCGGCGAACCGGGACTTACGTCCTCTCCAGCAAGGGTTGATGCCCCAACCCTATAGATATTGATCGCTGCGTTGCGATCTCTATCCAACTGTGTATGGCAGTTCGGACACTGCCACGTCCTATCACGGATGTTCAACGCTTTATTCACAGCACCACAGACCGAACAGGTCTTACTCGACGGATACCACTTGTCTATGAAAGTGATTGTGACGCCCTTCTTTTGGGCGATATACACCAGCTTCAGGACGAAATCGGCGAACCCCAGATCGCTGACCTTACGACCCCAGAGGGCTTTCATGCCTTGCAGGTTCAAGTCCTCGAGTCGAATCTCGTCATATTCGTCTGTCAGTTGGTGGGCTAACTCATAGTGGAAGTCGGTCCGTTGCCGTTCAATCGTGCGGTGCTTACGCGTCAGATTCAGCCGTGCCCGTTGCCGATTGGTTGACCCTTTCCGCTTGGTGCTGTGCTTACGACTGGCGCGTTTGATAGCGTTGAGACTCCGTTTGAAAAACTGAGGCGACTCTATGTCGTGCCCGTTTGACCCTGTCAGATAGCGTTTCAGACCGAAATCGAAACCTGCGATTTTACCCGTCATGACACGATTTAAGTCTGGTTCCTCATAGTCTATTAGCACACAGATATAGATGTCACCGACGCTGTCCCGTTTGATTGTGCAACGTTTGGGATTACCTCTGACGTCGCGGGACTTAAAGTATTGGTAGATTCGGTTACCAATTTTGATACGGTTGCCCGGTAACAGTTGCCACCCGGCTTGAAGTAAGGTGAATGACTTATATTTACGATGAGCCTTGAAACGAGGGCGACCCCATTTGTTGCCTTTCGCTCTGGCTTCAAACATCGCTTTGTAGCCTTTGTCGATTCGGGCAACTACGTCTTGAATCGCTTGGCTCGGCAATTGATTCCAATGGGAAAAGCGGGCACACGCTTCAGGGTGGTGATGTGCCTCATCAACCGAAACTTACTGATATATTTGCCGCACATAGCATAGTATCGACGCTGGAGCGCGATACAGTGATTCCACACAGAAGCGTGTCCGTCTATCGTCTTATGCAATTCGCGGTTGCCGTGATTGGAATACAACTTGAACTTGTAGGTTTTCATCAGGGGAAAGGGTACAGTAGTTTGACTGAAAAATCAACGGAATAGCAATAAAAACGGCTAAAGCGAAACTTATATCTCAAAGATAAATCTTTGGGCTTTACGGGCTAAAGCCCCAATCGTAAGTTCTCAATCCTTCTTACACCGAAATAGGTGACAACTCAGGCGGCTTCATTTCTTCTTCAGCACCATCAACGTCAAATCATCAAAGCGTTGGGCTTCTCCTTGGAACTCTAGCGTTGAGTTATAAATTTCCGCGCAGATTTCACTGGCATTTGCGTCGTGGAGTTGTTTAACAAGTTCCTCTAATCGTTCTTCGTCGTACATTTCTTCATGGATATTTTGCGTTTCGGTAACGCCATCAGTAAAAAATATAACCGTATCTCCGCTGTAAAGCTGAATCGTTTCATCTTCAAATTTTGACATCCGGCAGATCATATCGTCAGGATACATGCCTATCATTAAGCCACCTGCTTCCAGCCGTTGTAAGCTACCATCCTGCCGGATAACGATGGGGAAGTTATGCCCTGCATTCAGTGAGGTGAGTTTACCTGTCTCTGGATGCAACCGTGCGTAAACAAGTGTCGCATATTTATCCATTGGACTGCTCTCGCGGATAAGGGCATTCAGTGCCATTGCCCTCGCTGGCAGATCCGCCTGCTTTGCAACCTCTGAGAGTAAAGCCGCACGAAGTGTTGCCATCAACAAAGCTGCTTGCATGCCTTTGCCGGCAACGTCAGCAATCACCAATCCCCACGAGCCATCTGGTTCCTGAATGTAGCCATAGTAGTCTCCTCCAACGCCATCATGATGCGGTATACTCATCCCGTCAATTTCATAGCCTGGAATCTCTGGAGGTGCTTTTGGCAGAAGATTTTCCTGAATTTTTGCTGCTTCCTCCATTTCGGACTGTAATCGACGCCTCTCAATTGCTTCCTGATAAAGCCTCGCATTTTCGATTGCCACGCCGCCTTGCGTAGCAAAGGCTTCCAGCAAAATTCCATCTTCATCGGTAAACTCCAGAGTGATGCCGGCTCTACCTTCCTTATCGAAAACAACGAGTATCCCCAGAATTTCACGTCCAAAGACTGGAGCTGCTATTAGACTCTTTCCGCCGAATAGTGCAGCCACCTCTTGGTCGTTGCGAATCTGGACCTTCCCTTCCGTCGCTACTTCACGAAGCATAGAAAGCGTGGGGTGAATCCTCCGGTCGGCTTCTAAAGGAATCGAAAAACCTTTTAGGTCGGAGGGAAATTGTAGACCAAGTGCGAAAGAATTTTGATTTCAAGTTGTTGTGTAATCGGATTAATAAGCATCAGACAACCCGCGCTGGCATCTAGAAGATTGACAGCATGATTGACGATCTCTTCCTCCAATTGCTCTGTATCTAATAGCTTGGCAATTTGGGCGGTTGTGTCGGAAAGCATGAAAAGGCGAAATTTAGCGGCACGCATATCTTCTTGCGAACGTGAATGTGCAATCGCAACTGAGATATGGTCAGCGAGGAGATTTAACAACTCTCGAATCCATTTTGCCCCTTCAGAATCGCCGATAAATTCGCCTAGACTGATAACCCCTAGAAATTCCTCGTGAATCTTTAGTGGAGCCCAGAACGTTGCCTTTAGAGCCCGTAACTGTGGCTGAATTTCATTCAAGAATGGTTTTAGTAGGGAAGGAGGTTGGGAAAAATCGAGGGGGGAGCATTGAAGCAAAATTCCGATTTCACCAGGCGTAATCGGGATGACCAATGCTTCATTCGCAGACTCATCCGCGATATTAATTGATGATTCAACGGCAAGCAGACTTTCTGCAGGATTGAAGCGCAATATAGCACCCGTGGCTGCTTGCAACGTCTTGAGAACTATTCGCAGATAGGTCTGGCTTGATGCATTAAAGCTGCTCTGCCCGGAAACGATGGCTTTACCAACCTCTTCAATCTCAGACAGACCCAGAATTAGTCGCTGCGTGGTTTGTTCAGCTAAACCAGTCTGCATTTAAGGACCTTTGTTCTGATGTAGCCACTTACCTAAGGGAAAGAACCGAGTTTTTCTCGCAGGAAAATGCCCATCTGTTCGGAAAACTGGATCTGCCCAACAAGATAGTAGGCTGCGCTCAAGGGCAAGCCACAGCTTTGGCTAAGGCTGCTATACCCCGGTTAGAGCCTCGGCTTCCAAGTGCCTACTATCGCGCCGGACAATACATTTTCTGTGCTTACTGTGAATTTGGTAGTCTGTCTCCCAACTCTTCAGTGGATCGAGACATTGGAAAACAAGAGATGCAAATATTGGCATCAACGAGAAGATCAAATGCTATTAACCGGCAATTGCGGCAATTGCTTCATCCTCACTATCGAAATGTTCAAATGTGGAGATTAATCGGCTCCTGATAATGAGACTCTTGACGTTCTTCTCGCTGACGTTGATGACCGCAACTCGGCCGCCCTTTTGCACAACGGCTACGTGTGCTCCTAGCAGGGTTCCGAGCCCGGAACTGTCCATCATTGAAACATCAGCAAAATCAAATAAAAATTTCGGCGAACCGGAAATCTTTGCGCTTTCCTCATTAATCGCATTGCTGAGATCGCGAACAGATCTTCCAATAACCTTGCCCTTGGGTTTTAAGATGATTACATCATCTCTTTGACGAATATCGACAGCCATTAGCTTTCCTCCTATGTTTCAATCTCAAATATTATCGTCATATTACTGTCTACCGCCAGAAACTGTACTTTTCGCCTGTTATCTTGAGGCTTGAAACCCCTCATTGAACAAAGTCAAGACTCTCAGCGTCAGAGATACTTCGCGAAACCTGTCCTCGAATGAAATTCAGGTTTCAGGACCTGAACGGCACTTGTCGAAGCGATGAGTGCTGCCTCCAGAAGCGCAATTTTACCCGACGCGGAGTGTAGTTTTTTGTTCCGCTAAACATTTCTTATTCTAAAGGAGGTATAATTTTTTGTCAAGCCTTTAATTTCCACAATCATTTAGTTTTCGGCTTTCTGTCGGTTCTGTGGGATAAGTCGCGATTGGGAAGTCGCTCCTACAGTGCAGTGTCGGGATTCGGAAATCCCTCCTACGGGAGAAATAGATGTCCCTATTTCAAATGAGTATTCCGCTTGACACGGGGTTGTAAAGTATAATAGAATGTACGGAATGGGAAACAGTCGGCAGAAGGGGAAACATTATGGCGAAGATGAAACAGACTGATGCGACATGGAGTGCAGTCTTTGACAGAAAGAGCAAAGCAAAGGTTGAACGGAGTATTATTGATGTCCTCAAGGAGGTCCCCATCTTTGAGGAGTTGAGTAATCGTGAAATTCAAAACATCGCGCGTATTGCTTATCAGCGTTATTATAGTGCAGGGGAAGTCATTATCCATGAGGGACAGAATGCAGCAGGGATGTATATCATGGTGGACGGACAAGCAGAGGTCACCAAAGCCTTAGAAGATGGCACAGTTCTTCACCTAACAACTTTAGAAAATAGCGGCTTATTTGGTGACGTCGGGTTGTTGGATAGTTCTCCACGGACAGCTACAGTAAAAGCAACCCGCAACTCAAGCATTATCGGCTTTTTCCGTCCGGAGTTGCTTGAGTTAATGAATTCAAATCCAAGACTGGCGTCTAAGGTAATTTTTAAGTTGGGTCAAATCCTCACGGCACGTTTCCGGTTTATACACAGCGAGTTTGAAAAGGCACAGGAAGAGATTGGTCGTTTGAAGGCACAACTCACAGCAACATCAAGCACAAACACAGAAGATAGAGATGTAGCCTCCAATGAAACCTCCATCAGCGGACCGGAGTTGGAAATTGAAGCACCGGATTCTATCAGCCCTAATGCCTCCGGAGAGGAGGAAAACCGATGAACAGACCCGCTAATCAGGATACGACGACCCACCCCACTGAAGAAGCACCTTCTAAGATGGTTGATCCCCCCAGTCAAATCAACACGGAGCAGTTACACGCACAAACGGCTACACTCGCAAGAGAGACGGTCATTCCGCTGACGCAAAATATTGAGACAATGACGTCGGATATCCGGTTAGTTGTCCGTGAAAGCCACGAACAGACACGTCAAGCACGGGTAGCAAATGCCTCTCTGAAAATCATCGCTTTTGGTACAACTTTGATTTCGCTTGCAATTCTCATCGGCGTTGTCTTTCTGCTCAAGGACATTCTTGCCCTGGTAGTGATCTCGTTCCTGATTGCTTACATTTTTAGCCCGATTGTAAGTCTAATTGAGCGGAGGGGGGTCAACCGGACACTTGTGGTCATTATCATAACGCTATTAATGCTCAGCGGTTTTGCTTTTCTTTCAACAGTGACTGTTAATAGCATCACCGGACAGATCTGGAAGTTGCTACCGTTGACTGTGGAACAGGACTTTGAAGATGATTTAGACCGAGGCGAAATCCCGGAGGGTTTACGACAGAAGTTTGTGGAGGGTAGTGTTACACTTTCTCAAGATGCAGCGATTGTTGTTGAAGAGACAGGTAACAGATGGAAACTGACCGACACAGGGAATCGCCGGACATACGATATCAGAAAAGAAGAAAATCAACTCAAAATTTACAAGACGCTTGAAGATCTTGTCAATCTTGAAAACCTTGTCGATACAGCTACAACAGCGTTGAATCTAATTCCCAAGCCCCTTCGTATACCCTTGCTCAACTATCTTGGGGGAACTGAAGATGTGGAAACCTCGATGGGCGTCTCTGGGGAAAAGCTTGATCAAGCACTCGACCACGAACAAATCAACACCCTTGTTGGACGGCTGCAAGACAGAATTTTGGGATTTGTGATTGGACAATCTCAGTCGATCTTCAATGCAATTGGTACTTCTGCGAAAGGCGCGTTTTCAGCATTTACAACCGGTGTCATTATCCTATTTTTAACCTTTTTTCTCCTCAATGGCGGACAGCAGATGAAGAAAGCGGTTATTCAGATTGTGCCGAATCGTTTCTTTGAGCCCGCTTTGGTACTGATTGAGGGACTCGATCGACAACTGGGCGATTATCTTCGTAGCCGTTTGATTCAGACAATAATACTTTCGATAGTTGCTGCAATTGGGTATTGGATTTTGGGACTTCGGTTTGCAATCCTCATCGGGATTATTGCTGGTCTGGCGAATCTGATTCCGTATATCGGTCCATTCATTGGGGCGATTCCTGCAATCGCTGTTGTCTTTCTAGAGTCCCGATTCGGGCTTGGTTGGAGTCTGTTGGCTGTTATCGTTCTGACACTTGTGATACAAATCGTTGATAACGCAATTATTACGCCATTGATAATAGGCAAAAGTGTTGAGTTGGGGCCCGTGATAACGATTGTTGTCGTATTACTTGGCGAGCAATTGCTAGGCTTAATCGGTCTGTTAATGGCGGTTCCGATTGCGGCAATGTGCAAATTAATCATCGAAGAAGTGTGGACGCAATTTAAGGGGTACTCACAGTCAATTCTCGTGGGACACTGAATCCGACTAACTCCTCCTATTTTCTAAATCTGATAGTTCCATGCGGATCGGGGAAACTCAACTTGTGCCCGCCAGTGTATATTTGATGGACGACTATTCTCATGACGAACGAAGAGGTAAAATCCGCGCTCCATCGCGGAACCGCTTTTTTGATGCAGCAGCAAAACTCGGCGGGCAATTTTGAGGGGCAACTCTCTTCAAGTACCTTCCCCACTTGCGCTTATGCTTGGGTGCTCTTTGCCCAGGATCAGTTTGCCGGATGAAGCATTAATCGATTGGTTGATTAAACATCAGAATCCCGATGGCACATGGGGACTTGATGCAGCCAATCACCCAAACCGAGAAGCTACACTGTTTGCACAACTCATTTTAGAGCAGGTTTGGCAACGGCAACCTAGTCCACAACTTGCTGGAGTACTCGCGCGTATCCCCGGATATCCGCTGAATCTTGCTCTCATTAAACTATCTTACGCAGCCTTTGGCGAATTTGATTGGAACAAGCTAACATTGCCGAAACATCTGCTCCCTATGGTGGCGCTGATGAAAAAGCTGCTGACGAAGTTTCCTTTCCTGCAATCGTTCCTCAAGCCGCCGACCCACCTCCTTCCACCGGTAAACCTCTTCAACACTTTAACTTTTGAGAAACTGTTTATCGCAGAGCAGCACACGCTTGTGCCTGTCTTCATCCTAATCGAACTGAATACCACTCGACGCCCGAACATGATTGCTTCATTGGTCAGCTGGCTAATAGAACATAAGCTTTCTGATAATAGTTGGTTTCGCGTGAATTACATCACGGCGTTGTCGGTGTTGGCACTCATCGAACTTCAAAAGCATATAACCAATCGCCAAGTTGCTTTGAATCCTGAACCAACGGAACTTGCCCAATCGGAGGAGATTCAGCGGTTGATCGACGGCGGAATCGCATGGCTGCAATCAACACGGAACCCAGACGGTGGTTGTCGAGAGGCGTTGAACCTGAACATTTGGGACACGGCATTAAGCGTGCTTACGCTCATTGATATTGGCAATGTAGACAAGAATCACGTCGTTCAACGCGCTGGTAGGTGGTTTATTGACAACCAGAATCCAGATGGTGGTTGGGCGTTTTCGGCGATGGGAGGCGATGGCAGTCTTCCGAGTGATGCTGATGACACGGCGTTAGCTACACTTGCCCTACTGTGGTCGAAGATACCCGACGGCACTGAAGCAATTCAGCGAGGGATCGATTGGTTGAAGGTACACCAAAGCCCGGACGGCAGTTGTAGTACATATCTGCCCGGTCAAGGTGATGTCGGGTGTGTGAGTATTACCGCCCACGCAATCGAGGCATGGTGCGAAACAACGGGGATGGAAGTAGAGACAGATCGAGCCTGTCAGTGGTTGGAAAGTCAGATTTCCAAAGAGGGATATTGGTCAGATCTTTGGCTTGCCAAACGGACGTATGGAACAGCTTGTGCCATTATCGGTTTAATCAAAGCGGGGAAAGCCACCTCTCCGTGCGATTGCGCGCGGGGTTCGTTGGCTTGAGTCGGTCCAAAACAGTGATGGCGGTTGGGGCGAGGATATGTTCGGCAATCTGACCGATAGCACGGCTGAGCAGACGGGTTGGTGTACCTATGCTCTACTACTTGCTGATCGTGAGAGTGCCACTGCTCAAAAGGGATTGGAGTTTCTTCTTAGTCGTCAGCGTCCGGAGGGCTCATGGGATGCTAGTTGCGTCGGCATCTATTGGGAGATTATCGGTGGTTACGCAGATCCAATCTACGCTGCGGTTTTCCCGCTGCTTGCAATGAATCAGTACCTGAAGGAAGCCAAGTGAAGCAATGCACGAATGCGCTTATGAGTTCAGTGTCCCCTGACTTATCGGGGTTTTATCCACGGTTTACCTCAGATGATTTCTGTTATTATTCCGGTTCTCAACGAAGCGAAGGTTTTAGACCAATCGCTAGCTCGACTCACGCCTCAACTAAAAGGACATGAGTTGATTATCGTTGATGGGGGCAGTACCGATGAAACCCCGTTGATTGCGAAAAGGTATGGACAGGTAATTTCCTCTGAACGTGGGAGGGCTCGTCAGTCAAATGCGGGTGCTGCGGCGGCAAGGGGAGACATTCTGCTTTTCTTGCACGCAGATGTGTGGCTCGATTCTGGAGCCATTGAAGGCGTTGAAACCGCAATCTCAGCGGGTTATGTCGGCGGGACTTTCAAACAGCGAATTGAAGGAGATCGCTCCCTGTATCGGCTGATTGAGCGTGTCGCCAATTTCAGGGCAAAACGGCTGAGGATTTTCTACGGCGACGGTGGCATTTTCATTCGCCGCACCCACTTTGATCGAATTGGCGGATTCCCCGATATTCCGATCATGGAAGAGGTCGAGTTTTCTCGAAAACTCCATCAACATGGTGAAGTAACGCTTGTTGAACCGGGGATTCATATCTCTGCACGCCGCTGGCAAAAGAACGGCATTCTCCGCACGACCTTAACAAATTGGCTCATCACCTTGCTCTATCTGCTACGAGTTTCCCCGAATCACCTCGCAAAGTTATATCGCCACATTCGGTGATTCGTTGTCGAACAAACCTAGCCTATTGATGCGGCCCCTGAGGTCGGTAAACCTACTCCCGATACCCCTGCTTTGCCCAGACCTCCTTTGCGTATGCAATCGTCGCCTCCGAAGGCTCAATATCACCGAGGATGCTACTCGGTGGTTGCCCCTCTTTCTTACGTTTTGGATCTGGAGACCAGTCGTCATTTTCATAAGACTTACGTGCCGATTCTGCACGAAAATCGGGGACTTCAATTGGGGTAGAATCGTTGAGAGCAGACCGCCAAGCGAGAATGCCGACAATACTCATGTCAATCCCCCGGTAAACGTCTAGGTACGGTTGTTCACCCGTCCGAATTGCCTCCGCAAAGTGATAAGTGGTAAAGAAATCACCACCTCCATGCCCTGCGGTTGTCGCTTCGTTATGATGGGTTGGAAAATCGGGCTTGTAAACGATTTCGGCTGGCTCCCCTTCATCTTTCTCCCACGGCTCGCGCCACACGCGCAGTCGCTGTTTGTCGCCATGACGGCTGTTTTCCATCAGTCCCTTATTGCCGTGGATGCGGACATAGCTTCCATGTCCACGCAGTGCACCATGAAGCGATTTCATTACCGCCCCGTTGTCCATTCGACAAATAATGACAGCGCAGGTGTCGCTGCGTTTCATGTGCATTGTCTGGGTTGGATCATTGAAGTCGTAGGGCACTACGAACCCATTCACCTTCACAGGACGGGTGTCCGTGATGTACATCACCGGTGCAATGGAGTGGGTGCAATAATAAGTGGAGGGTGTCCAATTCCGCCAGTGGTTGGTTCCACAACTTCGAGCAAGTTTGACTTCAGCAGGATCTGGATGCACATATTCCCCTTCACCGTACTTGAATTCGCCAATCCGCCCTGCTTTGTACAAGCGATGCATCTCCTGATTATAAACCATATACGGATAATTTTCGGCGAATAGATAGATCTTCCCACTTTTTTCAAACGCACGCGCCAACGCCACCGCTTCCGCCATCGTGTGACAGGCAGCGCATTCACTCATCACATGTTTGTCTGCGGCAAACGCCTTGATTGCGAAGGGCGCGTGTTCGTGAAAATAGTTAGCAAGCACAACTGCATCCATATCGTGTTCGAGGAATTTGTCGTAATCAGTGTAAGTCGGCACACCGAGCTGATTACCGACCTGTTGCAGCCTCTCCTCCCACGTGTCGCAGATGGCTACCAACTCAAGTCCAACTGCTATTGCGGATCGCATAAAGCTTTGCCCGCGCCCTGCACCGACAACCCCTACGCGGATACGCTTATTCCCAGAAGTCTCCATATCACATACCTCCAATAGAACAAAAAAACCTTGCGAAGGCTCGAAACCTTCGCAAGGTCGGGATTTTCAACTTAATTTGGTTTATTAAATGTCTGACACTTTTAAGTTGATAGATTTCTCTACAGCAAAAACACGAATATCGAAACACTTGAGCCCAACGCCCTATTTCTTGTCGTCATCAACAACTTCATAATCAGCATCGATGACTTCGCCGTCAGCCGATGAAGATGTGGACTGTGGTTCATCTGTCGGTGCGCTCTGATGCTCTGGTCCTGCAGATGGGTCACCACCAGCCTCAGCGGTTTGCTTATAGAGCTCTTCCGAAGCCTGATGCCAGACCTGCATTAGACTCTCAGTTTTCGCTTTAATATCTTCAGTATCCTTGTTTTCGAGGGCTTTCTTAAGCTCCTCAACGGCATTTTCAACATTACCCTTGATTGCCGCATCAACCTTATCGCCAAACTCGTTGAGATTCTTCTCTGTCTCATAGATTAGCGAATCCGCTTGGTTATGTACCTCCACCTCTTCGCGTTTCTGCTGGTCTTCAGTGGCGTGGGTTTCGGCATCTTTGACCATCTGGTCAATTTCCGCTTCGGACAGTCCCGACGAAGCGGTAATGGTAATCTGTTGTTCTTTGCTTGTCGCCTGATCCTTTGCAGAAACATTGAGAATACCGTTTGCGTCAATGTCAAACGCCACCTCAATCTGCGGCATACTGCGTGGTGCCGGCGGCACGCCATCGAGTCGAAAGCGACCAATCGTTTTGTTGTAGACCGCTTGCTCCCGCTCGCCCTGCAACACATGTACATCAACAGAAGTTTGATTATCTTCCGCCGTTGTAAAGATTTGTGACTTCTTGGCTGGAATCGTTGTATTCCGTTCTATGAGTCGGGTGAACATCCCACCCAACGTTTCAATACCCAACGACAGGGGAGTAACGTCAAGCAGTAAGATGTCTTTTACACCTTCGTCGCCAGACAGGACACCGCCTTGAATTGCGGCACCAATTGCAACAACTTCGTCGGGATTCACCCCTTTATGGGGTTCCCTACCAAACAGTCGCTGTACTGCCTCTTGGACCTTCGGCATCCGTGTTTGTCCACCAACCAATATGACCTCTTCAATGTCACTCGCAGATAATCCGGCATCGGCAATAGCTTTCCGACACGGTTCAAGCGATCGTTCAACGAGATCGTCGGTAATCTGCTCAAGTTTTGCACGAGTCAGGTTGACATTGAGGTGTTTCGGACCACTTGCATCCGCAGTGATAAAAGGCAGATTAATATCGGTTTGCATAGCAGTTGAGAGTTCACACTTCGCTTTTTCTGCGGCCTCTTTCAACCTTTGCAATGCCATGTTGTCTTTGCGGAGGTCTATTCCCTGCTCACGCTGAAATTCCTCAGCAAGCCAATCGATGACTGTCTGATCAAAGTCGTCACCGCCAAGGTGGGTATCGCCGTTGGTACTCTTGACCTCGAATACACCGTCGCCAATTTCAAGGATTGAGATGTCAAAAGTTCCTCCGCCCAAATCGTAGACGGCAATATTTTTATCCTTCTGATTATCGAGTCCGTAAGCCAATGATGCAGCGGTTGGCTCGTTGATGATGCGCAGCACTTCCAATCCCGCGATCCTGCCCGCGTCTTTTGTTGCTTGGCGCTGCGAATCGTTAAAATAAGCAGGGACTGTAATGACAGCTTGCGTCACCGACTCGCCGAGATAGGATTCCGCGCTCTCTTTCATCTTCTGAAGGATCATCGCAGAAATCTCAGGAGGGGCATGCTGTTTATCCAAAATTTTTATAGAGACATCTCCATCTTTATCGCTCACAGCCTCGTAGGGAACGCGATTCATCTCTTCGCTAACCTCCCTGTACTTGCGTCCCATAAACCGTTTGACGGAGAAGATTGTATTTTTTGGATTGGTGACGGCTTGCCTTTTGGCAACTTGTCCAACCAACCGCTCTCCCTCTTTCGTAACAGCAACAACAGATGGCGTTGTTCTGGTGCCTTCGGCGTTTTCGAGTACTTTCGGGTCACTGTCTTCTAAAACAGCGACACACGAATTTGTGGTTCCCAAATCAATTCCAATGACTTTACTCATCTGAAACTCCTCCATAAATTAACGATAATTGTTGATTGATTATTGATGTAGGTATCTGCTCACTACTTATGTCTGATAATCCGAATCCATCGGAAAATGCTTAATCTCTTCATCTGAAGTGTCTGGGTGTTCCGATCTGTTGAAACATTCTGCCTGCTGTCTTGACGACGTGATATCGACTGTTGTTTAAGATCTAACGCGCGGGAAACGAATCCCAGCAGCTGCGGTAAGTCTATAGGTTTTGATATGAAAGTGTAGGCTCCTGCTTCAAAAACGTCAAATTTTACACCCTGTGATGTGTTTGCACTCATAATAATCGCAGGCATACTTGGCTGAAATCGCTTAATCTGTTGAAGCAATTCTGCACCCGTTGTATCCGGAAGGTTAAAGTCTAGGAGAGCAAGATCTATAGAAACTTCCCGCACAATTTCTAACGCTTCATACCCAGTCTCTGCAGACACAGCGTCGTAGCCGGCGCGAGTTAAGACCTCGCCCAAGACCTCCAAAGAAGCCATATCATCATCAACTAGAAGAATTCGATAACTGTGCCGGATCATCTTTTAGCGCCCCTTTCCTCCCACTCCCAACGATACACATCCTCTCACGGACGAAATCCGTGTTCACATGGCAGATTATCGGGCAATATACATGCCAACCCAACAACCATAGGCAGCAACGTACACGACAGATGGAGGTTTCCTAGAAATGTCAGAATGGCAATGTCATATTTTGGGACGCTTGTCAATATGACGCATCCCGCTTGCCCAAATGCACTAACGTTGTGTCCTGCGCTTCATATTGCTCAAACGCGGGCTGAAGTGTAGTACCAAGCAACAGTTATCAAAAAAAATCTTCACCGATAATGCACTGTACTGCAAAAACGAGCGAAAATCGACCTGAAAATCTCCGTTTTCAACGGAAGTATAGAACCTAACTCAAGTGGAAAATGAGCCGTCGCTACTTTGCTTCCAGCCAATTCGCCCCTGCATGGATATCAACCTTAATGGGTACATCAATCTGACAGGCATTCTCCATCATGCGTTTGATTTCTATCAAGACCTCCTCTTGCTCGGACTTTGGTGTTTCAAACACCAACTCGTCATGGACTTGCAGCAGTAGTTTCGTCCGCTTACCATTCTTCGTCAGATAGTCATGAATCTCAAGCATCGCAAGTTTGATGAGTTCTGCAGCTGTGCCTTGCATCGGGGCGTTGATAGCAACACGTTTGCCAAATTCTTGCGTGTTTCGATCGGCGGCTTGGATCTCCGGCACATAGCAGCGTCGTCCGAGGAGCGTCGTGATATATTCTTGTTCCTGTGCTTTTGCAACAATCCGGTCAAAATAGTCCCTAACACCAGCATAGGTCTGAAAGTAGTTGTCGATTAATTGTTGGGCTTCACCAAAATCAATTTGCAGTTCGTTGGAAAGACGGAACGCACCTACACCGTAGACGATCCCGTAATTCATGGTTTTTGCCTGACGACGCATATCATCGTCGATCTCCTCCGGCGGCAGCCCAAAGATAAGAGAAGCGGATTGTGCATGGATATCCAGATCTTGCTCAAAGGCTTCCCGCAGACGGTCGTCTCCAGAGAGGTGAGCGAGGATACGCAATTCGATCTGCGAGTAATCTGCAACAATCAGCGTATGGTCATCATCGCTAGCGACGAATGCCCGGCGGATCTCCCGTCCTTCAGCAGTTCGTACAGGGATATTCTGTAGGTTTGGATCGCTGCTGCTGAGTCGTCCCGTCCGGACCCCGGCTTGGTGGAACGATGTATGGATGCGTCTTGTATCCGGGTTGATTAACCCAACCAGTGCATCTGTGTATGTGGATTTGAGTTTGGCGAAAGAACGATACTCCAAAATCAACTCTGGCAATGGATGGTGCGGAGCTAGTCTTTGTAAAACCCGGATATCAGTTGAGTAACCTGTTTTCGTTTTGCGCGTCAGGTTCTTAGGTAGATCGAGTTCTTCAAATAAAATCTGACCAAGCTGTTTTGGCGAATTAATGTTAAATTCCTGCCCTGCTTCTGCGTAGATCTGATCCATTTTCTGATCGAGACGCTCTTGAAATTCTCCCGATAACTGTCTGAGATAATTGCCATCCACCTGAATCCCTGCCAACTCCATATCGGCAAGCACAGAGATCAATGGGATTTCAATATCGCGGAAAATATCGGTCAATCCTTCCGTCGCCAACTCCGACACAAACTTATTCTTGAGTTGCAGTGTGATGTCCACATCTTCGCAGGCATACTCCGTGATCTGTGGGAGCGGTACAAGATCCATTGTGGTCCGTTTCGAGCCTGTGCCGATAAGATCTTTAATCGGAATCATTTTGTGGTTCAGATGGGTAAAGGCGAGGTCATTCAGACCGTGGCTGGATGACGCTGGATGCAACAGCCCAGAAGCGACCATCGTGTCGAACGAGATGCCTTTCAAGTCTGCGCCGTGACGTTTGAACACCTTCAGGTCATATTTTATATTTTGTCCTACTTTTTGATAAGACACATCCTCAAGAACGGGGCGGAGAACCTCTAAAACTTGATCCTGGGAGAGCAAAGATGGCGTATCCAACAGGGAATTCAGAATCGGAATGTAATATCCCTCATGTGGAGCGGTGGTGATGGCAATACCGACGATGTGGGCATCAATCGGGTTGGTCGAGGTTGTCTCCAAATCTACGGAAAATTCCTCGTTCTTCTTGAGTTCCTCAATGAGCTGCTTCAATTCAGCTTCATCCGTAATCATCTGATAGTTTGTGTCCGGTTTCGGCATTTCCCGGTCAGTTGTAATCTGGTCGAGTAGGCTGTGAAACTCAAGCTCACGGAAAAGTGCTAGCAACGTTTCGTTGTTTTTATCTCCAACTTTACACCCTTCAGGTGTAATGGGTAGTTCAAGGGCGGTTTCAAGGGTTGCCAGTTTTTTGCTCAATAACGCGTGGCTCTCTCCTGCCTCCAGCTTGGTGCGGAATCGCTCTGGCACTTCATCAAGGTGCTGGAGGAGGGTTTCGACTGTACCAAATTCAGAAAGTAGTTTCGGGCTAGTCTTTTCTCCAATACCACTGACGCCGGGGATCTGATCAACGCTATCGCCTGCAAGCGCGAGGTAATCGGGGATTTGATACGGTTCTATCCCGTAACGCCTTTTGCACGCTGCTGCGTCGTAGATTTCATATCCACCACGCGGATTGACGCGATGCACCTTAATCTTTGGAGAAATGAGCTGGAGCATATCTTTGTCGTTGGTCATAATCAGCACGTCGAACCCCACTGTCTCCGCTTGCTTTGCCAAAGTTCCAGCGACATCATCTGCTTCGTAATCGTCCATTGCCACAGTTGGGATGCCAAGTGCCTCGACGATTTTGCGCACATACGGAAATTGGGAAATGAGTGAGTCCGGGGTTGGGGGGCGATCTGCTTTATATGCCGCGTAAAGTTCGTCTCTTTTGCTTTTTCCACCCAGATCAAAGCAAATCGCTATGTACTCATTACCTTCTTCAAGCAATTTTAGCAGCATTCTCGTGAAGCTAAGAATAGCGGCTGTCGGTTGACCCTGGGAGTTGGTTAGTTGTTGTTGCATTCCAAAAAATGCGCGATATACAAACGCTGTACCGTCAATGATTAGTAACTGTTTTGTATTTTGTTCTGCCATTGTTTCTTACCTGCGCTTTTCCTATGTATTTGCAATAAATTATGATCCATTGAGATTAAGCCAAGCAGCAAGCGATTTGCTTTATTGAACGGCTTTGGATGTTTCGGCGGTTGCCGATATAGCACCGTTATAATGCCAACTGAAGTACCACCACAGTATTTGCAACAGCGATCGGTGCGGCGATGATAGTTTGAAAGCAGGTGTGCCTTTTCCGGTGCACCCGTGCCCACGCAATGAACGGCAACAGGATGAACAGGCAGACAAGCTGGCTGCTGATTAGCGTCGCAAGCCCTGTCATACACCCTGCGGCAACCCCACTGTGGAAGCTGATTTTCCACACCTGTGTGATTAAGGTAAGCACCACTCCGTTGATGACACAGGCAATACAGAGCCAGACAATCTCTCGCGGCGCATCAAGGATGTGTAAAATGCCGCTGCCGACAAGGGCACTTACAAGCGAAAACATCAGCGGTTTGGCGCGTTGTTCTCTGACCGTTAATCGGAGATCGCTCAGTCGCCCTAGACAAAAAAGCATCAAAATAAAAAACATCGGTAGCACAGTGGCAAACAGTATGACAATCACCATCCACAACAATCCCTGCTGCATCGTCGCAACGGACAGCCAGATGATTATCAGGATTGACGCAATCGGCAATAGGAATGGACTGAAGAGCACGGATATAGTAACCGCAATTCGATCGAGCATTTGTGTGTTTAACGCATGACGCATTATTTTAGAGTCAGAACCGGTATCAGGCATGATTGACTATTTCTGACGGTTTATAACGGCGCCAAGTAATCTTTCCGCCACTCCATTCTCGATAGATTAGGAAAGCACCCAATGCCAACAATCCGTCGTGGAGTACCCTCGTGGCCAAGTGATACAACATCATGAACTCCCCAATTGTCATGTGCTGAGTGAACCAGTTATTCAGTTCACCGCTACTCCACTGGTATAGGAATGGCTTTATAACATGGAATCAAGCCGACGGTTAAACGGAAAATAAGCACTGCTGTGATAATTATCAAACCCTTTGAGCGTGTACGGATACATAGCAATACTAGTAAAACTGGGAACGCTAACGTTAGGACCAAATTAATGGCTGCAAGTATGGATTGTACAAAATCAAGCATCGGCAAACCCTCCTCGCTTTTTCACACATAACGAAAGCATGCTATCTATTGTATCATATCATCCGCATCTATGCACATTCAAATGTACCGTTTTCTCTTGACACACCCCCATATTTCTGCGACAATGTTTTGATAGCAGCCTGTACCCTGAAGGTTCACTGAATTGTTGATACCTTTAGACTTTGGCTCATGTTAAGAAATGGTGCAACAGAAACAGAGTTTTCAAGAAAAAACTCGGCTTCTCTTCGCGCTTTTCGCTTTCTTTCTACATGAGCCTATACTTTAATTATATCAATCTAGGAGCGGTTTTACATGAAACAATCGTATCGACCCATCTTTGTCAATTTTTTTGTTTTTAACATCTGCCATCTATGTTGTGGATGCCCAAGTGATTGGCGGCACACTGATTTTTGGACGTGGTGGCGATTCCGTTGGACTTGACCCTGCACAGGAAGAGGATGGCGAATCCTTCAAGGTGTGTGAGAATATCTACGACAGACTCGTACAGTACAAGGACGAAAGTACGGCAATCGAGCCAGCGTTGGCAGAATCGTGGGAGTCATCAGAGGATGGGTTGACATGGCGGTTTAATCTCCGCAAAGGGGTTAAGTTCCACGATGGCACCCCTTTCAACGCGGATGCAGTGCTTTTTTCTCTCAATCGTCAGCATGATCCCAACCACCCCTTCCATAATGTTGGCGGTTCCTACACTTATTGGTCGTACACCGGATTGGCTAAGATTGTAGAGGAAATTACTGCGCCAGATGCATATACAGTCGAAATCACTCTTACCCGTCCATACGCTCCTTTCATCTACACTATCGCAATGACACCTTTTTCGATTGTCAGTCCAACCGCCCTCCAGAAATGGAAGGAGGATTTTAAGAATCATCCGGTCGGCACAGGACCGTTCAAGTTTGTACGCTGGGATCGTGAGGATAAGGTTGTCTTGGAGGCGAACAAAGACTATTGGGAAGGACGCCCACCGCTTGACAGAATAATCTTCCGATCTATCCCCGACAACTCAGTCCGCCTTATCGAGTTACAAAACGGAAGTATTCACGCAATGGAATTTCCGAATCCGGATGACCTGTCCCAGATCCGCGAAGACTCCCAACTCAGGATTATTGAACAACCCGGCATGAACATCGGTTACCTTGCGATGAATTTGGATAAGAAGCCTTTCGATAATCTCAAGGTTCGCCTCGCCGTCAACCACGCGATTAACAAGCACGAGATTGTCACAGACTTTATCAAGGCATGGGCATTCCTGCCAAAAACCCCATCCCACCGACAATGTGGAGCTATGATGACTCGATTGAGGAGTATACCTATGATCCGGCAAAGGCGAAAGCGTTGCTCGCAGAGGCAGGTCTACCCAGATGGCTTCGAGACAACGCTGTGGGCATTGCCGGTGCCACGTCCTTATATCCCCGATGGGAGTGCCCTTGCGGCAGCGATTCAATCGGATTTGCGCCACGTTGGGATCAAGGCGAAGATTGTGACCTTCGATTGGGGAACGTACTTGGAGAAGACCAAAAACGGTGAGCACGATACAGCAATGCTCGGTTGGTCTGCTGACCTCGGCGATCCGGATAACTTCTTCTACTACCTCTTGAGCAAGGAAGCGGCGAAAAAACCGGCGGGGAACATTGCATTCTATCGCAGCGATGAGATGCAGGAACTTCTTGTCCAAGCACAATCAGCTACCGATCAAGCCAAGCGAATCGAACTTTATAAAAAAGCCCAATGGCTTTTTCACCGCGATGTTCCTTGGGTTCCACTAGCACACTCCAAACAGATCTTAATCATCAATAAACAGATTAAGAACCTCAAACTTCACCCAACGACGTGGAAGTATTTTCGGCAGATCTGGCTTGAAGACTAACTAGCGACAATCCCAATGCTTTAGCTTTGGGGCTAACCTTGGTGGTATCGTGTCCCGCTAAATCGGGATGTTGATATTGTAAGCCAAAACTGGTATAATCGTCTTGTCTTTCAGTAGGGGAATGTCGCTCTACCGCTTGGTAGAATCCCCTACACCCTACGACATAGGAAACGATAAACGGAAAGACAACCCCAATGTTAAAAACTCATAAGATAGCGTTAGATCCGAACAACGTTCAGGCAACTCAATTTGCTCAACATTGTGGTTACGCCCGTGTTACCTACAATCATGCCTTAGCCGATTTCAAAGCGGGTTTAGACAATGACGTTTGGCGCAGTCATATAGACCTTCAACACCGTTTTAATGCCGTTAAATATAATCAGTACCCGTGGGCTAAGGACATGTCGCAAACCGTGTCGAAGTGTGCTATCTACAATAACCTCAAGGACGCTATAAGCCGTTGGCAGTCCGGTCAGAATCGTTTTCCCAAGTTCAAGAATCGGTTCCATGGTCAGAGTTACCAAGCCGTTGCAGGCAAAGGAGAAACCCAAGTCGAAGGACAGCGTATAAAACTTCCCAAAATTGGTTGGGTCCGCTTATGTGAACCCCTTCGCTTCCTTGGTACTATCTGTAAGGTCGTTATCTCTAAGCGTGGACACCGGTGGTTCGCTGCTATTGTTGTGGATACATTCAAAGCCGATTCTATACCTGATATTCGACAACACCCCGTCGTTGGTGTGGACGTAGGTATCAAGCACTTGGCGGTCACGTCCGAAGGGGTGTACTACGAGAATCCGAAAGCCTTAAAGCGTTACGAGCGCAAGCTAAAACGGTTGCAACGTCAGTTGAGTCGAAGGCAGAAACGCGGTCGTAATTGGCATAAGACCCAAGCGAAACTTGCTAAACTACATTACCGTATCACTTGTATCCGACAAGACGCCCAACACAAGGCAACAACGGCTATCGTCAACGGTGCGAGTCGTATTGGGATTGAGTCGCTAAATGTTGCAGGTATGCTTAAGAATCATAGGCTTGCAAAGGCATTATCAGACGCTTCGTTGTCGAGTTTGCTTGCCATGTTAAAGTATAAAGCAGAACGGATAGGCGTTAAAATTGTAGAGGCAGATACCTTCTACCCGTCTAGTAAGACTTGCTCGGGTTGTCGTGCAGTCGATAGCGACTTGTCCTTGTCGGATAGAACCTACCATTGCAGTGTTTGTGGTCATACGCAAGACCGAGACCTCAATGCTGCAATAAACCTTAGAACCCTCGCCGCGGGACACGCGGAGAGTTAAAACGCTTGTGGAGATACTGTAAGACCCCAACAGTTGGGGCTGGAATCGTTGAAGCAAGAAGATAGCACGGAGTCTTGATAAATCGAGACTATTGGTAAGTCTATCATAAGAACCCCAAGCCTTTAGGCTTGGGTGTACGTCAGAAGTGACGTGACGCATGATTGTCTACATCTTGCATCGACTCCTCTCAATGGGATTATCGCTCTTTGGTGTTTCGCTGCTCGTCTTTTTCATGGTGCATCTTATTCCCGGTGATGCTGCCCTCGCTATTCTCGGTGAACGTGCCACAGAGGAATCATTAACAGAACTCCGCCGTCAGATGGGGTTAGATCAGCCGCTATATAAGCAGTACGGGGTGTTCCTGTGGGATTTGGTGCATTTAGACTTGGGACGCTCGTTTAAGACAAACCAACCGGTCATTGGCGAAATCCTCCGCAAATTTCCTGCGACAGTAGAATTGACGCTTGCAGCGATGAGTTTCTCAATATTTTTCGGCATGGCTGCGGGGATCATCGCTGCTGTCAATCGTGGAAAGTTTTGGGACTACACGACGATGTTTGGATCGCTAGCGGGGATCTCAATGCCAATTTTCTGGCTCGGTTTGATGCTCATCCTGCTGCTGGCTTACACCTTCCCAATTTTTCCTAGCTCACAACGGCTCGACGCTATATTAGATCTCGACGTTCAGCACCGTACTCACTTTTATCTGATTGATACCCTGCTCGCTGGCAACTTTGCTGCGTTTCGAGATGCAATTATGCACCTCATCCTCCCTGCGATAACACTCGGCACGGTGCCGTTAGCGATAATCGCTCGTATGACACGGTCTAGCCTCTTAGAAATCCTTAACCAACAGTACATTGTAACCGCCTACGCAAAGGGGTTACCCAAACGGGTCGTGATCCTCAAACACGCCTTAAAAAATAGCGTCATTCCTGTGTTGACAGTCATTGGTCTTGAATTTGGCTATCTGATGGGCGGTGCAATTTTAACGGAGCATATTTTTTCTTGGCCCGGATTGGGTTCGTGGCTACGGGCTGCTGTCGAAGCGCGTGATATTCGTCCAGTACAGGGCGGTGTTCTCTTTGTCGCTACGGTTTTCATGACGGTGAACCTGATTGTCGATCTGCTCTACGCATATTTTGATCCGCGTATCCGAATCGGAGGAGAGGCAACATGAGGGAACATCGCCATCAATTTTATCGAGAGCTGCTGCGTCAGAAATCGGCGGTGATTGGCGCATCGATCTTAATCTTTTCATTATCACCGCAATCTTTGCCCCGCTGATTGCAACACATGATCCTCGCGATGCAGATGTGGCGGTACGGCTCAAAGGGTGGTCTCAGGAGCATTACTTCGGGACAGATAAGGTTGGGCGGGATATTTTCAGTCGCATTGTCTACGGTTCGCGAATCTCGATCAAAATTGGATTGGTTGCGATGACGTTTTCGATCTCGGTTGGCGCACTACTGGGCGTTATCGCTGGCTATTATGGGGGTTGGCTCGACAACACTATCATGCGGGTGATGGATATGATGCTCGCCATGCCGAGTATCCTGTTAGCAATGGTTATCGTCACCATCTTGGGGCAGAGTTTGACGAATGCGATTATTGCGGTCTCGATTGTTTACATCCCACAATATGCTAGGATTTTGCGTGCTTCTGTCCTAACCATCCGCGAGCAAGATTATGTAACTGCCGCCCACGCCATCGGAATAAGCGATTTTCGTATTCTGACCCGTGTGATTTTGCCCAACTGTCTTGCACCTCTGATTGTGCAGGCAACGCTGGGGATGGGTGCAGCTATTTTGGATGCCGCCGGTCTCAGTTTTCTTGGGCTTGGTGCCGAAATCGGTGAACCGGAGTGGGGTGCGATGCTCAACGAGAATCGGGCGTTGATCCGCCGTGCGCCGTGGACTGTCATGACGCCGGGGATTGCAATTTTCCTGATTGTTTTAGGGTTTAATCTGCTAGGGGATGCACTGCGGGATGTGCTGGATCCGCAGGTGAAGACATAGGGTGAAACGTGATGCGTGAAACGTAATTAGTTCATTAGTTCATTGGCTCATTACTATACACATTGCGCTCCTCTGGAGCGCAGAGATTAGCGATATTGGCATTCTATAGACATATCGCTCCTCTGGAGCGTAAGATAGAGCCAGAAAACCGATGGATTTTCAATACTTAGCAACTTGGGTTAGTACACATCACACAAGTTTATACAAGAGAGGTTAAAAATGAAGATTACAGATGTAAAACCTTTGCCGGTATGGGGAGGTTCTAGAAATTTCTTCTTTGTGAAGGTCGAAACCGATGAAGGCATCTATGGAATCGGTGAAGGCGGGATTACTTGGCGGGACTCGCTGCGACGGAATGCGTTAACCATCTCAAATCTGTCCTAATCGGTGAGGATCCACGGCGCATTGAGCACTTGTGGCAGGTGATGTTTCGGGGCGGTTTTTTCCCTGCCGGGCGGATTGCTTGTTCTGCAATCAGTGCTATAGACATTGCGTTGTGGGATATTCGTGGGAAAGTGTTGGGTGTTCCTGTCTACGACCTGCTTGGTGGTCTCGTCCGCCAGAAAGCTGTATGTTATCCCCATGCCAACGGTAATTCCCCCGAACGACTTGCAGAACACGCACAATCACTTGTGGAGGACGGGTGGAAATTTGTGCGTTGGGGTGTGCCTCAGCAGGGGGAGGTCCTCGATCCATCGTGGGCGGTTCGGGAAACCATCAAGCAGTGTGAGGCGGTTCGAGATGCTGTCGGAGAGGAGATTGAGATTTTGATTGACGTTCACACGCGGCTAGACCCGCCCCATGTGATTACGCTCTGCCGTGCTTTGGAACAGTATCGTCCCTATTTCATCGAAGACCCGTTGCGGTCTGAAAATATGTCCACGTATCATCAACTAGCGCGCCACGTTGCCGCGCCGTTGGCGGTGGGAGAGCAGTACGCCACGAAGTGGGAATTCCGCGAATTGGTTGAACAGGAACTGATGCAGTACGCACGGATTGACCTCTGTATTGTTGGTGGGATTACAGAGGCGAAGAAAATCGCTGGTTGGTGTGAGGCGCACTACATTGATCTGGCACCACACAATCCGCTCGGTCCTGTTTCGACAGCGGCGTGTCTGCACCTTGACCTCGCTTCGACGAACTTCGGTGTCCAAGAACTCCCAAGGAAACCGGGGACAACGCTGCCTGATGTCTTCCCAGTGCAGCTAGAGTGGGAGGATGGCTATCTGCTGCCAGCCGACGGGCTCCGGGATTGGGGATTGAGTTTGATGAGGAGGCAGCACTGGCTAATCCGTACCGTGAAGTTGAGGCACCGCAGTTGCGTCGGCCCGATGGAGCATTTACGAATTGGTAGGTGTGAAAGTGTTTCGGGCAGGCACAAGACCTGCCCCTACAAAAACTCGGTTTCTTTGCACTGTTTCTTAACATGAACGTTGACGGTTATTGTCAATGTGCCTTTACGCGTGCCCAAGTCGTTGTTAATTTGTCGGTTGGTTCAACTGCCAGTTTACCTGTGATGTTTTGGAGAAGTTCTTCTCTACTCAACGGTCTGTCATAGATGCGAAGGATAGCGATTGAGCCGTTGAAGTTTCGATCTCTGTCATGAGAACTAAATATTGAAAGCCACATAGGCTCATCAGGATCAAAATCCTGATCCATCTCAACCATCCCAACCTTTTCACCATCTTGGTAGGTCTCAACCATTTTCTGATCGGTGAAGACAAACGCAAGCCAGTGCCACTCCTTTTCCTTAATATCGATGCCGAGATCTTCCGGGATTAACCACTTCCCTTTATTATTATCTCTGCCCTTAAACCTTGCGATGAGTTCGCCGGTATCCGGTCCGTTGAGAGAAACCTGAAGATGTTGCAATTCCCTGTCACGTGCTTTCAATCCGAGAACTTGGGAAGCAACAACGAGATCTGGCCATTTGGGACCGTTGCGTTTGATGAGAATCTCCACCGTCCAATCCTCAAGTTGCAATTTGGGGAGTAGGTCCGGGGCTCCGCCAAAAGTCTCGGACTTTCGTGTGGCGGTATACCACTTTGCATCCTCATTGATACCGAGTGAGGGTATTCTGATCTTTCCTTCTTCAAATTCAGGCACCTCATTATTAGCTGGCATTTTTCCGCCGGCTAAACCGAGGTTTTTCCAAGCTATTCCCGCCTATTTTGCTCTCTGGCATCGAGGGGGATCACTGCCCCCGGGAACCACCTTTTGTACTGCTACCGCAAAACTGGTGAGTCCCAACACAAAAAACTACACTGTAAACCGCAATTTTGTTTATATTAGGACTTACGCAAAATCCATAGAAATAAATGTGAACAAACAGTAGAATGAGTTGCATGAGGTGAACATGCCCAACCGACTCGACTCGATTTACTGTCAGTATTTGCATCCAGTAGCCCCATCAACTATACCTTAACCCATTTCGGCCCAGACCAGAGCCAACATTCCGTCATGATTATGATAACCCGGTATCTTGCCGGTGAGCGTACCGCCCACGTTGGTATGGGAGAAAATGTCAAAAACAGCACCTGGTGAAAACAGAAAACAAGGATATGTCATCTTTGATGGACACCGTTGGATATAGCCGCTACGCTCGGAAAATAGCACTTAGCGCGTGGTTCAGTATAGCGGCAACGCCAATGTGTCATTAAAGGTATATGGTGGGGTGACTTGTGGTCTATGTCAACCCGACTTAGACCGTTTCGGGTGATTGATACCGTATTTGCGACCTACGACAGATGGCAAGACCAAATTAGATCATGTTATTAAAGAGATGTTATCCCATTCGGTCTATCACAAGCGGCTTTGTTTTCAACGGTGTTGATGGATGATAGCTGGTATGCCGCCAAAGATTTGATGCTATACATTGAACAGTTAGACAAACATTATATTGCCCGCTGAAGTCGAATAGTCAGGTAGATGACTCCATGCCAAACGCCTTACCAGCGTGTAGAGGCTTGCAGTGGACTGAGACGGAACGCCAGCACGGGAAACGGAATTTATAAAATCAGAGGATTTCCTAACATCACAAGGTGAAACTTTTCCGGGTCGCGTCTAGTACGGGCGCACGGATTATGTTGTGACCAACGACTTAGCTCAAAACGACACTTCAGTTGCCCACAAGCGTGTGTGTAATGGCGGTGAAGATTGAGCGTGTCAACGTGAAGCCAAGCAGTAACGGTCTGAGGGGGGTCAATGTCGCTGGGCACGGATTGTTCGCAATCACATCGCGGTTTCTGATGCATGTTGGTTGGGTGCGACTCAAGCACGTCGCGTATCAGACAGACCAAACCATTTATCAAAGTCAAGAAGTTTATTCTTGAATACTTGCGACACCCAATTGAAACCGACCGCCTATTCAGATGAAACATGGTAAAGTCATATATATAAGCATTTGAAAATATCCATTTGGGTAAAGGGAGGGAAAATTAATGACTATTTTGATCGCAGCAGCCCATGATGTGGCAAGCTCCTGATGGACCAACGCGAAGATTGCTTATCAAGTCCTCCCGAGCTGCTTTACATCAGCTTCGCTCAATGCAACATTGAAAATAACAAGCCTCATCAATGATCTTTTACTGAATGAGTCAAACCGCGCTGGCAAACAACGCGCCAATGTACATGGCTGCCCAGTGGGGTGCCAATATCATTTCTTCGCTCCGTCATGTGTCTTCAACAGGTTTTGATTCGCCATCAATATAAAGGATCGTTGCCCTTTCCCCATCTTTGGCAAAACAGGACATAGTGGTGCCACTCTCGTCCTTTATCACTAGCCCTTGCAAATCCATTTGATACCAGAAAAATAGAAATTTGAGATGCACGGAACTCCCAAAGGCCCAGTCAACCTACCAAGCAGCGGTCAACGCCGCCCAGTGGAATTGGGAAGGTACAGGCGGGATCAGCCTAGAGAGGTGGACCCATGTTGCGGCTTCCTTCGATGGACGCGCCTATCTTCTCCACGTTGACGGTAAGCTGAAAGATGAAGTCGAGGATCCAGGGAAGATTAACACATCTTTGTCTGATGTTTATATCGGTTGGCTTCCCCAGTGGAATGAAGCATTTACGGGGTTAATTGACGAGGTCCGCATTTCAAACATTCCTAGATACCCAGCCGCTAACTTTCCGAGACCGACGACCGAGTTTGAAGAGCGGGATCGCAATACCATATTGCTCCTGCACTTTAATGAAGGAGACGGCGGCGAAGCCAAGGATTCCTCCGCTTTTGAACACCATGGTTTAATTGATGGTGCGACATGGGAAGAGGTGGCTGATGCACCCTTCAAACCGTTAGCGGTCGAGCCGGGCGTAGACAAGCTATCAACGACATGGGGTAAACTCAAACGCAATTACTAGAATCCATGCGGGTTGAGTTAATTTTGCAACACGGGATTTCCTGCTGATTATTTGCCTCCTGATTTCCGATTGGATTAGCATATTTTCTATCGGTATCAGGAGGCTTTTCTTTTTTGATTAAAGCGGGGTTCATAGCCAATTATATTTCGGTGGATATTAACTGAGGTGTCAAATGATTTTAATGAGTCCGTCTGTGCGCTTGGGAAAGACATCGGAGGAACGGGCTGCCTTCCTCCAAAAAGTTAAGTTAATGGAAGTTAAGACTGTGACCACAAACACGCCTGCCGATTGGAGCGATGCGGATGTCGAGGAAAGCCAAGCGGTTCCTTGATGACCACGGCATCCGAGTCGGCGAGTTTAGTGGGCACCAAGGAGGATTTGGCTCGGCGGATCCGGATGAGTACCGAGCTGCCATTGAAGGACATCGTCGCCAGTTGCGTCATGCCCACATCATAGGGCCACTGTATTGCCTGTGCAATACTCATCGGCAGAATTTGGATTGACGAAATGCCAAAAACCTTTGCGGAGCGGGGTGGAACCATCCCCGCAATGTGGTCTGAGGAGACGTGGAAACGATGCATCGGCGCGGTCGAGGAACTGATGCCCTATGCGGAGGAATTTGAGACGGATGTAGCGATACATCCTCACATCATTACACCGGTCTATTCTGTCGAGCGATATAAGGAACTTTTTGACGCGGTCCCGTCCCCGCGCCTGAAGGCACTTTTCGACCCTGTGAATATGACAGGACCCCATATGTTCCTTAGAATGACGGACTTTATCAATGAGATTTTCGATGGCATTGGGGATAAAATTGTCACGATGCACGCAAAAGATGCTACAATGTGGTCGGCGCGACCGATCAGCATTATTAGCCGTGTGGATGAAGCCGTACCGGGCACCGGCATGATGGACTATGCGACAATACTCCGTCGATTGGATGCATTAGACAATGATGTTCCGGTGCAGGTAGAGCATTTCCCTGAGCTAGAGACAATTGCGGGTCAGCAGCATATTCGGCATGTTGGGCGGGAAACTGGTGTAACTATAGGTTAACTCAAATTGCCACTTATAGGAAGCATCTTGACATACTCCGCCACCCTAAAGGGTAGGGATTCTTCTCCGTTCTCAATAGGGTGTCGAATTGTGCTATCAGCAAGGGTAGCCCGGCGAACTGGGACTTACGTCCTCTCCAGCAAGGGTGGATGCCCCCACCCTATGGATATTGAGAGCCGCATTACGGTCTCTATCCAACTGTGTGTGGCAGTTTGGACACTGCCAATTTCTATCACGAAGGTTTAGCTCTTGGTTGATTGCGCCACAGACATGGCAAGTCTTACTCGAAGGATACCACTTGTCTATGAATCGGATTTCCGTGCTCTTCTTGGAAGCAATATACTTGAGTTTCTGCACAAAGTCAGAAAAACCTAAGTCAGAGACTTTGCGACCCCAAAGGGACTTCATGCCTTTGAGGTTCAGAGATTCAAGGGCAATCCAATCATATCTGTCTGTGAGGTCATGGGCAAGTTTCCAGTGGAAATCTTGCCTTTGGTTCGCAATCTTGCGATGTTTCCTTGCAAGGTTTAGCCTTGCCCGTTCCCGATTCTTTGACCTCGTGACCTTTCGTGAATGGTTGCGGTTCGCTCGTTTGATAGTGTTGAGACCGCGCTTGAAGAATTGTGGAGAGTCGTAGTCATTGAAGTCAGACCCGGTGAGATACCTCTTTAGTCCAAAGTCGAACCCCGCGTTATTACCCGTCGTGGGTGACTCTAAATCTGTATCTACATGGTCTGTCAGAATGATTAGCCATACGTCTCCTACGCTGTCGCGCTTTATCGTGCAGCGTCTCGGCGTGCCTAAGACTTCCCGACTTTTGAAATATCGGTAGATACGTTTGCCGATACGGATAGAGTTGTTTTGTAGCAGTTTCCAACCGGCTTGCTTGAGTGTGTAGGACTTGTATCGTTTACGTCTCTTGAAACGGGGACGACCGGAACGCTTGCCACTTTTGCGGTCAGTAAACAGTTTAGAGTACGCTTTATCAAGTCGGTCTATTACGTCTTGCAAC